AACGGCGTCTAAATGAAAGTACAGTCCTCCTTGGATGCACTTTGAGGATATCGCGCCGAAACAATGCATCTACTGCTCTCGTATATTAACATTATTGTCGAGCTCAATTTGCAGTCTAAGTCGCCATATGAAATCCGTTCATCCCACAATAAATTATATTAAGTAAAAAATAAAATTATTATATTATTAAGTAAGTCAATCTCTGTCAAGTAATATAACAGTGTATTACAATACAAAGTTCATACTTTGTATTGTAATACACTACTGTAATGACACACCCGAATCATTACCTAAGTGATGTGTTCATACACATCACTTAGGTAATGATTCGGGTGTATAGATACAATGTATTCGTCGTCACAGTATCTATTGAACGCACCGAGTAATGTTAAGAGTGATGTGTAATGTTTTCGAGTAATATCACCTGTCTGTAAAAGTGATGTCATATCACATTACATTGGCAAGTGATGTTTTGCGCAAGTCTAATACAATATATTCGTCACAGTATCTATTGAACGCACCGAGTAATGTTAGAAGTGATGTGTAATATTGTGTAATGTTTTCGAGTCATATCACATTACATTGGGAAGTGATGTTTTGCGCAAGTCTAATAATTAGTACATGATGCATGAATTACGGTGGCCTTAACGGCCTTCCAAAAATTGCCATAGCGGACGGTGTTTCACGTCCACAAGGCGGGGTATTGGTAAAGTTTTCAACTAGCAATAATCGCACCTCGGATTAACCTCATTGGTTACGATATTGCCTCTGCGCAAAGTTACCGGATTTTTCTAAGAGAGAACATTATGTACGTTTCAAACGGATAAAACGATAGCGAGATTCAGATTTGGAGCAACGCCATCTATTGACGGCAATGTTAAACTTTTTCAGTTTCTAACCGTTACGCTCTATATATCATTATCATTTGGAATGTTACGAAGTAATAAAATAGTACAAAGTAATTCGGTGTATTTTTATTTTCCTTATTTTTCTACTACAGTCATTACTTTTAAAAGGCGAGATAAAAATTATCGGTTTTAATAGTAACAACAAAATGTTAGACCATTTCGATATCGGATATAACTGAAGTCCGGTATACCAATAGACTCGCACGCCACCTACTCTACGATGATGGTACTACACAAGTAAGCTGCATAGAAGTGGCAACGCGTCAAAACATGATCTCAATCGGATCGACACGTACGGAGTATTGTAACTGTTAGTCAAATTATGTAAGCTACGAGTGGTTTTATAGATTACCTAACACGATACCACTTCGGTTGTCGCGAGACGTGAAACCAATTAAAACTATTTTTACGGTTTAAACTCGCGTTTTTTGTTAAGAAGATAACACAGATGGTGGGATTTACTTCAACTTCCGCAACAGTTCCCAAGCGCCAGACCAGAAAAGGTAGGCACGTGATTTGTACACCTTATATCAATTTAATTGACGTGGACTTTTTTTGGCGCTTAGATGTTGGTCGAGCTCGCGACCCACCTGGTGTTAAGCTATTACCGGAGCCCATATACCTTTACAACGTAAATGCCGCCACCTAACTTTAGGAGTTGTGAGGTCTCAGTTTTAACGGTACAGTGGCTGCCTCACCCTTCAAATCGAAACAAAACTACTGCTTCACGGCAGAAATAGACAATAGGTGGTGCCTTCCCGTGCGGTCTCCAAAGACGTCCTACTACCAGTGATGACGTTAAAATGTATATTGTAAGTGGTGTACTGACCTCGGCGTGTACGGCTATTAGGTTGTTAATGATCTCGTAGACATAAGGGCGCGCGTCGTCGACGAGCTCCGCGGAGGCCACCTTGTGCCTCCCCATGTACATGCTGGGCTCGATGGTGCCCACCAGGGGGTCGCCCTTGTGCTCTAGGTAAGTTTCCGCTATGGACGCTTCTAGAGAACTCAACGATTCCTCGGCCGATTTTAGTGCTTGCGTGGGCTGCGGGAATGTGCATCTAAAAATTAAAATATATATATTATTGCTTAGCTGGGTGGACGAGCTCACGGCCCACCTGACGTTAAGTGGTTACCGGAGCCCATAGACATCTACAACATAAATGCCGCCTCAATATAGAAACAACGGCTACCCCACCCTCCAAACCGAAACGCATTACTGCTTTACGGCAGAAATAGGCGGGGTGGTGGTACCTACCCGTGCGAACTCACAAGGGGTCCTACCGCCAGTAATTACACAAATTATAATTTTGCGGGTTTCATTTTTATTACACGATGTTATTCTTTCACCGTGGAAGTCGATCGACAACATTTGTTAAGTACGTATTTCATTAGGAAAATTGGTACACGTCTGCGGGACTTGAACACCGGTGCATAGCTAGATACGAATGCACCGGACGTTTTACAGGCAATCATGTTGTACGTTATCCATAATGTCCACATTTCGCATGCTGGTTTGGCGAAAGCAGTATGTCTTAATCCACCTTTGAATTATAGTATTTAGTCCAAGTTCAATTCAGTATAAGTTTATTTTTATTTTTATTCCTACCTAAGCTGATGATAGCCTTGTGAAGCTATTTCAGCATAAGCTTAACTGGTAGGTGAGCTCACGAGGCTCAAGCTGGGAGTGTTGCTAACACTGGCCCTAGCAAGAGCAGTGCTTTTTTTTATTGCCTTTTTAGGCAGACGAGCATACGGCCCACCTGATGGTGAGTGGTTACCGTCGCCCATGGACTTCAGCAATGCCAGAGGCAGAGCTAAGCCGCTGCCTACCGCTAGAATCTACCACCGGATCGGAAACGCGACCCACTGAGAAGATCCGGCGAGAAACTCAGTGGGCTGTGTCTGTCTGTGGGTGATGATGACCGGGAGTATTATCAGTGGGCTCGGGCGTCCGGCGTCCGGTGTGCAATGTGCGGCTTACGGTAAGAGGTACTAACTCGTCAAAGGCCGCCGCGATGTTGGCGAGCGTGACGCGCCTGGTGTAGCGCGCGTTGACGGCCGCCACGAGCAGGCGCCGCTGCCAGCTGCCGCCCTCGTCCGCCGCCGCGCCGCTCGCCGCCGTCTCCTCCAGACGCTGGTCCAACGCCACCGACAAGCTCGTGTTGTTGAAGTCCTGGTTCGAGTCAAGTACATACGATCAGCTTTTCATTAAATACAGCGAACAGATTATTGAATTTGTAGGGATCACAAAAGCAACTAACAACGACGCTTGTAGCTGAAAGTAAGTATTGTATTTTTTGACGCAGCATGTTGCTGATAACTCTATTACTGTAATCTGACGAAGCGTGTTGCGGATAATAACATGTACTTTTAGGTTATTAAAATAATATTTTGTGTATTTAGTGAAAATAAATATTTTGTACCATACTAACAATTATATGTATGTGTTAGCGGTAATTGTATTGCAATGATGCTACGTCAGTCTCGGGATTGTCGGGCTGTCGATAGCACGTTAGGTTGCAATCCCAATAGTCACTTAACTGAACACGTGTCTTATTTATCCTCGCCCAATATAGAGACTCAACAAATTTTGAAAGGTAAAAGTTTTAATTATTCGTGTTAACACGTTGACTGCCGTACAGGTCACCGGTGCCTTACGCGGCGCACTGAAGTAATTATATCGATTTCTGTTTCTAAAGCGCCTGGATTGTTTTCTTTTGTTTGCCAATGTATGTTTTAGTTTTTTTTAGAAATAGATTCATTCTCAGTATCTGCAGATTTGTCTTTCTCGGAGCCTAGTAGATATTCCGGTGCCTTAGTTAGAAGATCAAAGAGAGAAATCGACATATGTAGTTACATCAGTGCGCCGCGTAGGGCACTGGTGACTTACACGGCAGTCAACGTGTTAACATAATAAAATTTCTAACATTTTAATAACATGGTATTTTCATCGATTCAATCTCGTGTTCATTATTGACATTTACAATATAAGGTAACCAAATCGAATTCTAAATAAAAGATATTGAAGCTTAAAAACATAATTAAATGAACTAAAAATTAAATATTTTGTTCAGTAGGTAGTTGGTGTACATTTTGTGGGTACATGTCAGTGTGAAGTTTTCTTCGAATTTCAAGGTTACAATGAACATTTATTTTATTGCGCTTGTAGATAGACGAGCAAACATCCCACCTGACGGTGAGTGGTTACCGTCGTCCATGGATTTCAGCAATGCCAATGGAAGAACCAAGCCGCTGCTGCTACCGAAACGAAACTACAATGTACGCAACCCTACAACGCGTGTGTGCACGAGCACGCAACGCGAACTACGTGAACAAACGCGTACGACCATAATTTATTATTTGTAAAATCAGTTTCGGTTGACGCGTTATTGATTTCAAAGTTATCACGTATTCAAATCTGACGGTATTTTGTCACATAGGGAATGATGCGTCGTACCTGTCCCGAGTGATCGTTGGCGAGCGCGTCGAGCACCCTGGTGTAGGCGTGCAGCACGTGCCGCGTGTGCTCGTGCAGCGGGCCCGCGTCCAGCGCCGCACTCTCACGCCGCCCGCCGCACCACACGCACTTGTGAATATCCGACAGCGCCTCCTTCACGTACGTCTCCAATAGATGAGGCTGGAAATTACACAACAGGGTGAAATAGCTTCGCTTCTACAGTCGTTGTATTTATTTATTTATTTAGACACACCAACAGCAATACACACAAAACGTTCAAGCTTAAAATTAACAAGTATAAAATTAAGTACTATCTCTTATAACACACAATATAACACAAAAATAGGTTAAATTGAAAAGTTAACAGTACGACATAAAAAAAAAATTGAAGAGAACATGAAAACAAGAGTTAACTACTTAACGTTCTCTCATCAATTATAAACAAAGGAACTTGGATACCAGTTTGTTTTTGAGACCAGGACACGTGTCGTTAAAAATGTCGATGTAATAACATAACATCTTTTTTTTTCGGGCCGAACTTCCTCCGTGGTCCCCGCACCTAGGGGGTGCACGTGTGGTACTGATTCGCGACAGCGAAACCGCAGGCCCAAGAATATATTCAAGACCCTACCCACTAAACGACTCCTCTGTACTCTTCGCCCAAGCGTCCGATCCCCTCCGAGGTCAGAACCCGAATGAGGTAAGGAGTTACCGCGGTCAAGACTGCAACCAGACGGCGCAGCTCACCCCAAATAAGATTACACCTTGATATAGCGGTTTTTTTAAAATTCAATTTAAACAAATTATTTTACTATTACAAACATAACCAATATTTTCCATGCAAGATCTTGAATTTCGATCGTTAAGTCATAACATAAAAGCCTATTGTATCATATTGTAATAATATAAAAACATAACATAAAGAAACTAGAATAATCTTGTACGAGTTTCTCTCAAGTTTCTTAAGATTTTTTTTCTTGTTAGTGTAAAGAGACACAGACGAACTTACAGATCACCTAGTATGTAGCAGTTACTCAAGCATACCGACGCAACAGCGTGAATGCCGTCTCCATGCTTGGAGCAAAGATGTCGGTAGTCAAGACAAACTATTACTACTTTACTGGTGGTAGGACCTCTTGTGAGTCCGCACGGGTAGGTACCACTACCCCGCCTATTTCTGCCGTGAAGCAGTAACGCGTTTCGGTTTGAAGGGCGGGGCAGCCGTTGTAACTATACCGAGACCTTAGAACTTATATCTCAAGGTGGGTGGCGCATTTACATTGTAGTTGTCTATGGGCTCCAGTAACCACTTAACAACAGGTGGGCTGTGAGCTCGTTCACCCATTTAAACAATAAAAAAAAATTATATAAAAAATAAAAAAACTCCTAACCAGTTTAGTGATGGCTCCATATTCCGTGAACTCTTCGATCTTCCATGTTTCCTTGTCGGCGAGACCTTTGACCCTCTTGAGAGCTCGCTGGAGGAACACGACCATGCCGTGCACGCGGTAGTCGTATATCACGCGCTCCACTATGCTCAGTGGCTGTAATTAAATAAACCCCGATTACAATAATTAATCAAAATGAAACAAACAATCATATCTTACCACACTATTGTAAGGACTGGACAGATGTTGGCCCTATAACTCCGACCCTTGAGGATCTTTTCTCTTTATACCCAACCATGGCTCGCATCAGAACCGTTTGTCTGGACACACATTTTTTTATACTTTACTTGCGACCCGCCCTCGCTTCGCTTCGGAAACTGTAATTTATTATTGATTTCTCCACTATTTAATGGATGTTATTATACATATAAACCTTCCTCTTCAATCACTCTATCCAACTCCAAAAAACGTATCAAAATCCGTTGCGTAGTTTTAAAGATTTAAGCATACATAGGGACAGATATAGGGACAGAGAAAGCGACTTTGTTTTATACTATGTAGTGATTTCATTTTTTTTTAGAGAAAAAATACCGTAACATTTTGTTAGTAAAAATTACTTAAAATCTATGTTAGCAACTTAAAAATCTAACACATAAGTATCAGACATACATTATAAATATCATTACAATTTTTTCCTTCCAAACATTGCCTAAGATGTACATTGCATTGACAGAGTACATGTTCTTGTATTTCCATGATTTCCATACAGATATCCCAAATCGTATTATCATCAGATTTCATTTTGTGTAGTTGCGGCTACCACATTTTTTTTATTGTTTTGGCTGGTTGTCGAGCTCACAGCCCACCTGTTGTTAAGGGGTTACCGGAGCCCACAGACATCTATAACGTAATTGCCGCCACCCACCTTGAGATATGAGTTCTAAGGTCTGAGTATAGTTACAACGGCTGTATATAGGCAGGGTGGTGGTGCCTACCCGTGCGGACTCACAAGCCTACCACCAGTAATAAAGTGTTTATATTCAAAATGTAACACCGCTATTAGGCACATATCTAATGTTCAGGAACCTTATGCTGGAACCACACTGCGTTATGCACTATTCGTTATGTGACTACGCCGTATTCGCCAAAATATATGTTAAGCGCGCAAGCAAGAAACATGCCATCCACACTTCGAACTTGTGCGCTGAATTATGCCAAATAAGGCAAATATGTGTCTTGTTTGCGTGGAGCGATGGACGTGTTGAGAGTTGCCGCAATTTATTATTTCCTAAATGTTTCTTACCAATACTTGTTNATCCACACTTCGAACTTGTGCGCTGAATTATGCCAAATAAGGCAAATATGTGTCTTGTTTGCGTGGAGCGATGGACGTGTTGAGAGTTGCCGCAATTTATTATTTCCTAAATGTTTCTTACCAATACTTGTTGTACAAAGTTACTAAAAGATCTAAAAGACCGAAAAGAAAACGCTGGTGGATGATTACAAGTCATAAGACACGTCGATGTACGACCGCCACAAGCGAGCGAATGACTCACCGAAGTGTGGGCAGTCGATGCGCATATTCGCCTTATTCGTGTCCTTTGAAGTGTGTCAAAAAACCGACAAGTCGACGGATACGCGTATTTGCTATTCGTCCTTATGCGTTATGCGTACGAATAAAGCGAATATTGGCGAATATACTCTCCACACTTCGCCGTATGCGCGTGAATAGCTCGCTTAACGAATAGCGAATAGCGCAGTGTGGTTCCGGCATTAGATAGGAGGGAATAGGGGCTAGCGGTAGAATAGGGACAAATCTGGGTTTTCACAATGCTTTTGTGATATTTGAATTTGTTGAATTGAAAAGGGCTTTTATTTAGTGTTTATGAATATTAAATAGTTTAATGTAGTCATCAGAGTAACTGATAAAAATATTGAAAAGTTAATTACCTAAAGGTAAGTACCTACCTAACAACTAAACAGTATCAGTCCTGTTGAAAAACTCTATTATCCCCATCGTGATCCGATTCACTCCAAAAGCCAAGGTGGATCAGGTCAAGCTCGTTTTTTAAGTTTTTGTTTATATTTTTCAATAAATTATATATAATAATGCATCTTATATAAAAAAAAATACGTCCGGAACCGTTTTAATCTCAATTTTATTGGTATTACTCTAAGAAAAGCCGATGAAAATTTGTGTTAGAATTGGAAAGCGTCCAGATTCCCTCCAATCTACTGTATGTAAAGATTAAAGGACTTTCATTGGTACAACATTTATGACCCTAACCCACGCATCAGCCCGCTGAGTTTCTCGCCGGATCTTCTCAGCGGGTCGCGATTCCGATTCGGTAGTAGATTCATTCGCGAAGCAGCCACTCTTGAGTTGTTAGGGTTCTTCGGAGGCGCTCGGGCAGCTGTTAGCAAATCCCACTCGTCCTAGCCGAGCCTTGCTTGCCCACCTGTCCTAGTGAAACTGGAAAGGCCTCCGGGCCACCAGTAACACTTCAATCATAAAAAAAAAAAACACATTTCGCCTTTTCGCATTAATAGTGTACAATTTCCAAAAATATTCGAAATTGAGTTAATATGCGAAAACATTTGGTATCACCAATATTTTTCCCATAAATACTGTCAAAAGAGCGTAGTTTAGTTGTTGTTTTTTTTTTTAATTTTATACGTTTTGACTACTATTAACAAAATTAATACATAATTTAATCTTACTTTAAGACAGATAATCTAACTGGTAAAAAATAAAAATAAATGATGCAAAGATGATTAATATTAAAGATATTATTACATGTTAAACATTAAAAACACTCTCCTGTAGAATTAGTAAGTTTTGAGATTATACAGTTTTAATGCGAGAAGACGATTTGTGACTTGAGAAACTCAAGCTGTAGGTACCTGTGAGGGCAGATCCAATTTCAGCAGAGACTCGTACGCCTCCCTGAGGTGCCGCAGATTGGCAACGAGCCGGGCCCGCGCCGCGTCCGCGGACGTGACCCCGCCGCCCGACAGCAGACAGGCACGCATATGCTCCGAAAATAATTCGACACCAGCTATTATCATTTCCTAGAAAATGTTAAAAAAAAATTTTTTTTAAAGTTCAAATTTGAATTTGAGACTATTGCAACATTAACCTCAAATAACAGAAGACAATGTTAATATAGAAAAATGTACGCTGATATATTTAGCCAAAGACAGACAGTTAAATTTCCATTCTCTTGTGTTTGTCAAACGAGTTCCTAATTTTGACGAGCTTCAGTGTTATTAAAAAAAACAGTTATTTTATTTAAATATCGAAACTTTGGAAGGAAGTGGCATAAAATTCAGTATCCAATTTTCTTTTTTTAGAGTTTATGAAAAATAATTGACCCGTAAAATACTGTAATGTACTCTCACCACAATATTCTGATTCATCCGCCAGAAATCAGGGCGCGCCGCTAAATATATAGGTATAATAGCTAGTTTTCATTATAAAGGGTGTCCCAGAACTCAACGTCAAGCCGAAACGGGGTGACAGGATTGATTGTAACCACCATGAGAAAAATCAGAAAAAAAAATCTATCCCATGCAATTTGGAAATTATGGGTGTTCGGTGATATATTACCGAACACCTTTGTCAGCATAATTCGCGTGACGCGTTAACTTCATTTCCACAAATCGTCAGTGCACGATCAACAACCGCGTCACCCGGGTGCATTCATAACATTAACATTTAATTTATTTTCTCTATATTTTAACAATAAACATTTTTAAGTAACATTATCTTTAACTAACAAACTCACACCGCACCCTACATTTTGGTCCTTCGAGCCTTCTTGAAGCCTACATTTTGGTCCTTCGAGCCGGATGTGAACCAGCGACCTATGGATCATCATCAGTATGTGATAACATACATCATCGTCATCGTAGGAGTGCTGGCTACCGGCGTGCTACTCTGGCGACGACGACGGTTGAGTGCGAACCGGGCGATCATCTCTGACGGCATCGAGTTTCAACAGTATAGTGAATGTGAAAATGTAAATAGTGCTAAGGCAGGGTTTAGTGCGCGACCTTCTGTGGTGGACCCTTCGCCTGGTGATGTGAACATTTATGCCAAAGTGTCAAACAAAGCGTGCTCTCCAATACCAAGAAAACCTATATAGACCCTAAGTTCTTAAATTTTATTATACTAACATTTTAATTTAATTTTTGTTTGTCTTTCATCCTCTTGTAAGCCGTAATCATCTATTTACTAACAACTATTTCATTAAAGTATACACTATTTTGTTGCCCCGGAATATGTTCGGTGATATATTACCGAACACCTTTGTCAGCATAATTCGCGTGACGCGTTAACTTCATTTCCACAAATCGTCAGTGCACGATCAACAATCGCGTCACCCGGGTGCATTCATAACATTAACATTTAATTTATTTTCTCTATATTTTAACAATAAACATTTTTAAGTAACATTATCTTTAACTAACAAACTCACACCGCACCCTACATTTTGGTCCTTCGAGCCTTCTTGAAGCCTACAATGGGCATTTAAGAAAAACCAAAAAATTTGGTCAAACTATAACCATTTTTCGGTTATTGTGGTTATTTTTTATTATTTTTGTTCACTTAAACTTTGGAACCGTAACTCTAAATAACATTTCTAGAATCACAGTCAAAAATAACGACACAACTGCCCCAAGTTCGCGCATTAGCCGCTGCCTACCGAATTAACAAGTAAGTATCAACAAGTAAGTAGGCAGCGGCTTGGCTCTGCCCCTGGCATTGCTGAAGCCCATGGGCGACGATAAACCACTCACCATCAAGTGGGCCGTGTGCTCGTCTGCCTACAAGGGCAATAAAAAAAATCAAATCTTTATATAAATAATCAAATACTATATATAAAAAGTCAACAATTTATATTAAGTATTAAATATATGACGACCGGCTATGTTAAGTATAATAAATACCTTGAACTGCGCGTGACGTTCGGACAGGGCGGGCTGCCCGGCGAGCTCGGCGGCGAAGTATGCGCGCGCCAGCGCCCACAGCGCCGCCAGCTCCGCCGACAGCGCCGCGCACGCCGCGCCGCACCACGCCGAGCGACGCGCCGCCTCGGCCTCCTCGCGGGACTTGTGCCGCTTCCCTGCAACCTCATACTAACTCAACGTGCATCTTGAGACGGAAGTCTCCCTACATACTAGTTGTAATACGATTAGTCTTGAGACCAGAACACATGAGTGCTTTGCGGCAGTAGCTGCGATAGTGGCACTCATCAGTGCGGGATGACACTCCGGCCCAAAAGTTTGTTTATTGCACCAGTCGATGTTATTGAAGTCGTCGTGGCCGAACGGATAAGGCGTTCGGCGTTCGAATCTCAGGCGGGTAGCAATTTTTTTACTGAAATACGTACTAAACAAATGTTCACGATTGACTTCCACGGTGAAGGAATAACATCGTGTAATAACAATCAAACCCGCAAAATTATAATTTGCGTAATATATAAATTTATTATAAGGCTCCTGTTATAAAAAAAAACTACAAAATACAATTTAGACTAATTAATAAAAGCACAATATGATGTTTAGGTTGTATAAAACACATCGCGAGGAAAAATATTTATCCATCCAACCTTCAAACGTCGACCTCTGAAGCTATCCACGCGTGAAGAGTATCACATGGAGGTAATTGCAAAAAATAACTACTCTAAATAATATCATACCTTTCTCGTTATTATCTTGTTCTTCTTTTTGTTTGAAATGATCTTTGACTTTATTCAGGAGACTCATCAGGTACTCCTTGCGAGCGGTTATGGCCACCCACGCCGCGTCCTCTTCCCATTTCAAACTTATTAACAACCTGAAACCGACCAACAGTATTACGATGATAACAGAGGGGCGCCGAGCAACGCTTTTAGTGATACTAGGGCAGCTTGTGAGACCGCGCGGGTAGGTACCACCACACTGCCTATTTCTGGCGTAAAGTAGTAGGTAATGCGTTTCGGTTTGAAGATTGGGGCAGCCGTTCTACTGTAGCAACTCAGAATTAGAACTCGAGTCTCTAGGTGAGTGGTGGCTTTTACGTTCTTTATGTCCATGGTCCGGTAACGATCCAGTGATGTTAAGTCAAGAGGACTGTGAGTTCGTCCACCAATCTAAGCAATCTTCTATATATATATATAAAAATTAACTGCTGTTCGTTAGTTTCGCTAAAACTCGAGAACGGCCGGACCGATTTGGCTAATTTTGGTCTTGAATTATTTATGAAAGTCCAGAGAAGGTTTAAAAGGTAGATAAATATGAAAATGCTCGGAATTCAATAAAAATAACAATTTTGTTTTTCCTTTGATGTATGTGTCCCTCGTCGGACGGATTCCTTTTGTTTGTTTTAAGTTTATTTTATACAAACGTTTAGGTCTTTTGTTTGTCGATTGAGGCACTACGAAGTCTGCCGGGTCAGCTAGTAAATAAATAAAAACGCGACGCCTAAATCGCATGTCAAATTATGCAGTCTATTGCAAAACAATATTCACGTCTGAGGACTTCTGATTTAAGCATCAACGAAGTTTTAAAATTGCATTTATGGACAGTGTTTTCCGCGAGCCTCCTCTCTGCTGACCTCGTTTGAATAAGAAAGGTTCAATAAGAGAGGTTCCAAAGCCGGATAAAAGGCGATATCACGATGTTTGAAAAGAAGAGGAACGCAGCGGCTCTCTAAGTACAGGGCTGATGACGGAATATCATCAAACGAGTCATGCATAACGAACCGAGACATTCGTCCGGCAATGAGATGTCTAAACCATCGAAGCAACAAAGATTCGATAACAATAATCAGTCGTTTCTCACCTGATATATTTCATTTGTTCCTGGACATTGATGGGCATGGTCTTCATTCTGACAAACAATTTCTCTTTCAAATCTTCAATTTTTTTATCGATTTCGGATAGTATTTTTTGGAAGAGCTGTAATTTTTTTTATTTTTTTTTCAGATCAAGAAAATTAATACAAATGCTTACAATATTAATACAAACTTGCAATTATTATTATGGTATTAAGAAAAAAAAAAAAGCAAGTAGTTTACTGATTTCATTTGCCAACAATAATTTGTAATATACCGATATTATATACTGAATTTTTGTTATTTCGAAAGGTTCGCGGCCCAACCGGTGTCAACTGGCTATCAGAGCTCATATATGTGATGACGAGACCTTCGACACACGCCTTGAGATATTATAAGTTGAAGTCACAATTGTTAATCAACTGCTGTTAATGGTTGCCATAAAAATGACCTTCAGACCTTGATGACCTACATAATTATATTCGATTTCAATTATTCACATTCGTTCAGTCACAGCGCATTAGTTTCTTAAAACTCCACGTTCAAGATCGACTTTTTAAATTAAAGGAAGAAAAAACATCCCCTTTTTCCTTCTAATAGCTATTTCATAAGTACGATATTAGCTTTTTTTTTTAATTACGATAAAAATCTTAAATATTTTCAAACACTGTTTTGGTTTTCTGTAGCCAAGCGGCATATAAACATCACCGACAGCCCTTATGTCACAGCCACTTTAACAAATTTTTTTTTCCTACCTATGCTGATAGCCTTGAGAGGCTATTTCAGCTTCTCCTTAACGTGTAAGTGAGCTCACGGAGCTCTAACCGGGAGTGTTGCTAACACTGGCCCTAGCAAGAGCAGTGCTTCGCAGAATCTACCCCCGCAAACGCGACCCACTGAGAAGGTCCGGGAGAAACTCAGTGGGCTGTGTCTATGAGTTAATTCACTCGCCAAGCCCTTCGTCGCAAGCAACGGGTTCGGCGACGTTAATGGATCGGCAGGATTCGTAATGACGTGGTTAGGGCGACGTCGACTGTTTACCATTAGGTCCACAGGATCGGGTATGACATATACATCTTGAGAAGTGCTCTGAGGAATTATTTTCACTTCAACCGAAGTAGAGACCATCCACACCACCCTATCACCACTGCGCCTGTGCCTATCACCCACAGTACGTTTCCGGAGATCTTTTATGCCACGCATCCATCGAATTTAGTATAAAATCCGCTGCACGATGTTTTCCGAGCGCTATGACCTGTCCAGGTCTGAAGGGTGTCCTCAACGCGAGACAGCGGCTGGCTGTACCCCTGGCACTGCAGATGATCATGAGCGACTTTGACTACTTAATGCCAGATGGGTTTATGCTAGTCTGCTTACAATGGCAATCAAAAGAAAATCGTAAGATATTTGCAGACGTAACGACAGTTATGTACTTCTTTAACATATTATGCAGAATCTAATATACGCAAGTCCCACAGTGTCGGCACTAGTAAAATACAATCGGATCTACGTTTGTCTAAAAACTCTTAACTTTAATAATGTTTTAATCTTTTTTTTTCTTTATGTTGTTTCCACCTGCAGAACTATTTTTCAAACATATCGAATATCTTTATTTAAATTAGCAAATATAAAAAAAAAGGTTTTGTTTGACATTTGGCAAAATAAAATTTAGCAAAAATTCAATCAGTCTTCACGTGTCGAATTTCGATTAGCAGAACATCAGTTAGAAAATAATAATATTCAAATTAAAAACTTTTATATCGATAATATACCTTCACATCTGTATTCCCGAACAGATTCTTGACTCTGTTGTAGTCATTAACGACCAGGTCGTATTCCTTCTTGCGTATGTTCTGGTCTATGGAGGACGGTAGCTGGAAGAGGAACTTGTGGCGAGTCAGCAACGAGAGCGCCTCGCGAGTTTTGTCCGCGTTCTCTTTGCGCGACAATATCTCCAAGAACAACGAATCGGCCAGTTTAATCGAATCTGAAAAATATAGAGTAGAATATACACCTCCAATATAAAATCAAATAAAAAGACTAGTTTTTTTTGTGGCCTGGTAACGGGACCTTTCAGCCGTGTTTATATATTTTTTCTCATATCTATACTAATATTATAAAGCTGAAGAGTTTGTTTGTTTGAACGCGCTAATATCAGGAACTACTGGTCCGATTTGAAAAAACATTTCAGTGTTACATAGTCCATTTATTGAGGAAGGCTATAGGTTATAACATCACGGTAAGGCCAATACAAGTGGAGCACCCATAAAGAATGTTTCAAAATAGGGATTTAAATAGCTCCTTAACATTCTATAATTCAAAAATATTTTCAATTTCTACGTAAATGAAGTGAGGGGTAAAATTTAGGGTTATGCCAAAGTAACTATTCCACGCGGACGGAGTCGCGGGCAAAAGCTATTTCTGTTATAATATGAAGCGAAATGAGATAAAGTTCATTAATTTCAGACTTTAATAAGTTGAGATGAAATTAAATGAAATGGGATGGGATATGATGGGATGAAATAATATCTCAGTAACATGTCAGTTTTTTTGGCTGAGGCTTTTTCAATGGATTTTTTTGATGAAACAATTGCGTTCTTGTTGCTATTGACATATTAGTTCATACTAGTATACAATTTGACTAAAAATTGTAGAGGCATGTTGTACACTTGCACAACACGTCTCAATCCACCTATGTCCGCAGGAAGCAACTACATGCTCCAAATTGAAGCATCAAACAGACATTATACTGATTTTTGAGAACACTGAACACTGAGAATTTAGAGTTCCCTTACACAACCTCCTAACATTGATCAGCAGACTTTTTTTATTTTTTATTGCTTAGATGGGTGGACGAGCTCACAGCCCTCCTGGTGTTAAGTGGTTACTGGAGCCCATAGACATCTACAACGTAAATGCGCCACCCACCTTGAGATATAAGTTCTAAGGTCTCAAGTATAGTTACAACGGCTGCCCCGCCCTTCAAACCGAAACGCATTACTGCTGCACGGCAGAAATAGGGGGGGTGGTGGTACCTGCCTGCGCGGACTCTCAAAAGGTCCTACCACCAGTGAACAAGAGGTCCTACCACCAGTAGACTTACCTTCAATAGCTGTTTCAAGACTTTGTAACGGTTCTTTGCCGTTCTTTCTCTGATCTTCTTCATACATGTTCTTAAGTAGAACCAGCCTGTCGAGTTGATCCATGACAGCACCAGTGTTCGCTTTTAGGAAGCTCAATTGTCCTTCTTTCTGACCTTCTACCTACAAATTAAACCATTTAGATTTGGAACTGTTTTAAAATTAATTTAAGCTGTGATTCAATCATCTGATAGGAAGCATTTTATTTCTATAACTGTGTTTACGAATGACATCCATAATTAAGGAACAAAATTATTTTATAAGTGTATATTGCTATTCTACCTTTTTATTGTCAGTTTTGTTGTTGTTAGAAAGTTCAAGTTTTTATATAAATTCACCTTTCGCTGCAAGAACACCATTCCGGCTTTTAAGTCTTCAAAAGAAGTGTTGCTGTGATGTTCCAATAAATACCATCCAGGTTGAAAATTTTCGTCTGACAATTTACCTGATCTGTAAATAATTTCATTTTAACTATTAAATGTTGTTGTACAATTATTGTTGTTGTACAATTGTTGTTACACAATTTGTACTGGTATACATACATAGACAAACTCATCGGGCACTTTAAAAAAGAGGTTGAATTCTTTAATACTAAATTATACTGTATAACAGCCCTTCAAACCTGGATGCATATTTACTTAAAGACAGAAATTAGCAGTACAGAGTTATCTGGTGTTCATGCGGCTTACAATATGCCCGACAACAAAAAAAGATAGAAGATAGCACTTGGATTACACATCCCATGTCGTAAAGAAGAAAAGATAAGAGAAAAAAAGAAAACAGTGATACCACACTTGAACTATAATAAATAAGTACAATATTGTATTTTTCTTATATTTTATTCTGTTGATAACCATCAGGTGTAATACTTTCCTTTTGCTTTCCAGAATGGTTCTCAAATACCCATTGCATTATAGTATTATACAACTTTAAAACAAATTTAAATCCATGAATGAAAAATTCTTATTATTTTAACTAACTCAAATTAAGCCTTTGTCACTAAAATCTTTTTAATCAGAAAATCATTTACCCATCGGGAAACATCTCATGTAGTTCCTCTTCAGGAAATTTGCAGTCTTCCCCTTCGGTTGACAAACCCAGAGGGTCAGGTGGAGTGTAGGTTGTCGGAGACATGGGCCGCCTACCCCATGGCAGAGATGGTGGCGCTGCTTCCTCTACCCACACTGCACTTTCTTTTACAGGACCAATTGATTCATGGTAACCTGAAGAAGTAAATACCAAATTAATGTTTTTAATACCATCAAAAGTTATTACACCTATAGTATACCTGATCATAAAGCATTGCTATCACCTCATTGATATTGGCAATATCAATGTACAAATACCATGCCTGCCAATGACTTCAAGGTTAATAAATAACTTATTAAAATGCACTAGTTTGCAAATTCAAGTAACAAGGGTGAATTTGTTGATTGGTAATTGTCTTTTTATTTCTTTCTAGTTTTAAGAACTACAGAACAAAATACAATAAACAACTATTTGTATTTGATACAAGAAGTCACTTATTACCTCGGAACTGAACTGTGGATGTACCCTCTCCTCCTGAACGGGTGGTGACAGTAATATCTCCAAGTCCTTTGCATGGTCCTGAGCGTGCAACTACTTTATTCTTACTTTTCCATTCGGCTGATAGCAGACAGTCACAACCGCATATTTTAAGACCTAAAATAAATGACAACACAGCTAATTACACTAACTGAATAACAGTGTATGAAAATAAGATTGAATGGGTCTTGGTGACAAAGAGAGACAAATTCAAAACCCTCGAATAAAATTAAAAAAGGTGCAACTAGTAGGCTCCCTAACTGACAATGATTCTTTTAACAAGCATATTTATCTTATGTATGTGGGATGCTTTAACGACAAAAGGAAGATCTTCTACCTAGCAGGTAATATTGCTCAATAAACCGACAGTCTGAATGTTGTTGTTGGGAACTTGTATATATACAAGCATATCTTGAAAATGTAAGCGAGATTCAAGCATCTGTCAAATATCTTGAGAATTGTTATGGCTACCGCCACATTGTACACTGCGAATCCCCTATGCATAGTCTGCACAGTGGTGCCTGACACTGCAACCCCAGTTTTACTGGAATGTTAAATGAGTTGCAAAACAGAGGATGAAGTTTATTGGCACTGTGATTTCGTCGGTAGCATCGATAGTTGTTGTAGCCCGCAAACAAGTTTAAAGTAGGTAAGTCATGTCCGATAAGTATCTATGGAGGTTGAAAGTAAGCTTTAAACAAGTGCCTGTCTAACGGATTCTGAATAGTTATTCGGCAGTCTTAGCGCTAGTCCACTATCTGATCTTAATGACGTACAACCTTGCGTGTCCCAGCTATATGGCTCATCATGACAAACGCAAACCCATCGTACTGAGTCTCGATTTTATTAAATTACTTACCGATTAGATCTATAGCACTAGTGCCAAGGAATTCTCCACGTATTGTGACTCTCGTCCCAGGAGGACCCTCTTTTGGAGATATCCCCGTTACTACGGGGGGTGGACCCATCGCAATGTAGTCAAAATTCGGTGTAAAATGAAACTGGGTGCGTTATTTCATTGGAATATCAACTATTTTTTTAACGTATCAAAATATTTAGATAGAACCAAAATAAACATTCATGCAGTATATAAGCCACTTTTACAAATTGTAAACTTTAAATATTTACAGCAATTGACATTTGACATTAAACTTACTTTTTTTTACGATTTTATATTATTTGACAAAGAAATTACAGATCTCATTAATACTCACATTATTAGGCGGAATTAAATGGAGTTGGAAGGCAAAAAACACGTACTTAGTGTCTCGAAGACGCAGAAATTATAACGTGAAAATTTATTTTGAACCTCTTTATTTCATTCATTGCATAGGTGTTACTTTTTAAACCATGAAAAAATTTATCTTTAAGCCGTTTCTCCCTAATATATTTTATTAAATCAATTATGTTGACAAATAGCTATATGAGGCTAGCTAAAATTAACGATTCCAAAGTAGGGCTTCCACCTACGTTACTAATATTTGTCTAAAATATATAAGAGACAAAAGTGATTTTAAATTCTAAAGATATTCTTAACTAAACTGAGTTTCGTAGACGGGTCTTTTAGCAATATATCTAAAAAAATTAAAAAGGTCATTTTGGTCATTTCAGCAGTAGTTAAATACGTATTATAAACAAATCATAGCCATATTTTGTCAGGTTTCATTGAATTCACTAATCTACTATGCTTAATGTTCCCTTTGCTGGCTTATGCGGCCAAAGCTACCAATCAAAAACAATGAAGTAGGAAACCTAATCAAAAACTATTTGGGTGGATTTCATTCGTTTCATTCTGTGTCATTCAAAGAGTAAAGTGCTGTACCTACATAATTCATTCAATCTCATCCGTCATGTGGGGCTTTCTGAAGTTGAGGCTGTATATTTTGGGGCTTAACTAAATTTATATCATTCTAGTATTGATTATTATGATCTACTTATAAAACTTTATAAAATACAGTTTCAGAATGGCACATTCAACGTTCAGGTATGTTCTGTGAAGGGAAATTGAAAAATAAACATTGAAGTAATTCATTTTTGTCATAGCAAATAGTTAAATTGTATTTTTCTTTACATAGCGCTGTAGACGAGTACGGATTTGAGAGGCACGATGACTTCGACTACGAGAGCTACGAAGACTTTATGTCAAATTATTTAAAAGTTCTCGCTACTCGTGCTCAAAAATGGGCCGCTCTACTCGGCGAAGGAAAGTCGGTCAAACGAACCAATACCGTCAAGCGATATGTTCGTAAAGGAATACCCAGTAAGTTCAACTAAACAAACTGAACACATTATTTCCAAATATTTAACTGCGTTTTTATAATTAAAAAAATTTCATATTATAGGTGAACACCGACCATCAGTGTGGATGGCCATATCTGAAGCTGATAAAATGAGAGAACAATTCCCTGATTTGTATCAGAAAATATTAGACAGTCCATTTGAAAAGGAGCTTGTGGATTTAGTTAAAACGGACTTACCTAGAACCTTTCCCGATAATATATATTTTACAAAGGAGGCAAACCATCAAACACATTTGTTCAACATTCTGATTGCCTATGCTCACAACAACAGACTTGTCGGGTATTGCCAAGGTCTTAATTACATTGCAGGTAAGTTTCGAAGCTAAATTCATTGTGGCCTTAAAATATCAGCTTAAAATTTATTAATTATATTATTATTGCATACTAAATAATAATAAAAATGGCCTAATTAAAAAAAACAGTTTTTGTGAAATGATGACTTGCCTTACATAACAGCTTATAAGTTAATAAAAAAAATATAACAAGAATGGACTGCGAGAATAAACAATGAAGTGATTAAAGATAATGGAAGGAGGTTTAAAACCTTTTTTAACTTCATATGTAATAGAATCTAAAATTGTAAACTTGATTTAATGTCTGTAATATTCATATGTGTAGGTACTTATTGAATTAGGTAAAACACTGTTTACTCTTCAACAGTACCTGGTGCTCTGTGACTAATGTCACTGTCTTGTAAAAAGTCTTGTGACAACTTATGCTGCCTATAAAATTCTGAGTTAAGAACAAAGAACCTGTTAATTTGATTAAATCATTTTGGTCCTAAACTATAAATGGTCAATCTCAAGTTGAAAGTGGGAAGTTTTTAATCATGTTGTCTGCTTTACTTAATAATAAGTAACATGGCAATAAGACTATATTTTTATTATAGCTCTGCTTTGGCATTTGAACTTTGGCTTGTTAAGTGGTTACTGAAGCCTAAATACATTATGAAACAAGTTGAAATGAGTGGCTATTTTTGTTGAAACAGTTTCCCAGGTGAAGTGTTAGCATTTCCATGCCCCGTGTTGAAGATTGAGTGGCAGTGAGGTCTATTTTTACACCATATCCTAGACAAATGCCCACTCATTTTGCCCAATATGAGCTACCAAGCATTTAATTCAAACTGTTTTGCATTGTATCCTGAACACCTGTAAAGTGGGAAAAAAGAAACATTTCCTATCCTTATATTATTACACAGAGCCATTATTGCAAATATAAACAAGATGGTGGTTCTGATTAGGCAAATACTCTAGTCTAAAATCGTATCACTTTCTATTTTTAATCATATCTGATAATAGTAATCAAATAACCGTTTTGATTAATTTTAATCAACTGCAATGATTTATTAGCCTAATTAATTTTTGGGTCGTTATGAATGTAAATTCTTGTTTTATGTTTTTAACCAAATATAATATTTTTGAATCGTTTTTTGCAAATCAGAGAGAGAGGTTCACAAGCGATAATAACATGAATTTAATGGATACCTTAATACAGTCTACTACTTTGTAACACTTCTATATAATTGTGAGAACAGATATATCACATCATTGATATTATGGACTAACTAGACATCAGTACTATGTCGACCATTAGGAATTAATGAATAATGAATATTTTAAAAAAAAGTTTAATTCTAATCAATATCTGATTTTGACAGGCTTACTATTACTCGCTACTAAAAGTGAAGAAACATCATTTTGGCTACTGAAAGTACTGGTTGAGAAGATTCTACCAGACTACTACACCAAAACAATGGACGGTCTGATAGTGGATATTGAAGTTCTCTCAGAATTAGTCAAAGCCAAAGTACCAGATGTGCATCAGCATGTTATAAATTTAGGTATGGAATGTATACAGGAATAATTAATATGAGTTTTTAATAAGAAATGGAAGAATAATTAATAAGAAATGTATTTTTGGATTTGAACAGACATTAAATGTATAAAAAAAAAAATCCATGCAAAACAGAGAAAATTAGTAGTATGTAAAAAAATAATACTCTTTGCACACTAAAAACTAAGATCATGATGATGGTTCACTTATGGTTTCTTAATGATTCAAAATAGTTACATAAACAGGATCTTCGTAAACATATTTTGCATATTCAAATCTGATAAAATCTCGTTTAATTATTTCATTCGTTTAGAATTTAAAATTATTTAAATAAATATATAACTCGGTGCTATGAGATGTCATTCATCCTGTCTACAGAATTATTTAATGTACGTTTTCCGTCACCAGCCTGGTCTTGTATAAATTAATCTCACAATAAAAATACTTCAATGCTTACCACATTAAGTTTTATCACATTCAAAATGATATTTTTAAGGTATAAATTCACGTTATCTTTGTTATCCATTTATCTGATGCTACTGCAGTATAGTGATTCATTAAAAATCCAGTTTCTATTCTGACGAAATCTTATTTTTAAAAAACAATTGTACATGTGAATGAATTTAATGATATAAAAAAAATCAAAACCGAGAGGATAGCACAATAACTGATAGACCCTTCAAATGAGAACACACTTACTTGGCGTCTAATATAACTTTAAAGTTCATTTTATACTAATCGTGAGAACTAGGTTCATGGTTTTATTCTAATAATATATTTATTTTAGGTCTCCCGTGGGCCGTTATAACAACGAAATGGTTTGTTTGCCTCTTTGCGGAAGTTCTACCAATCGAAACCGTATTGCGGATCTGGGATTGTTTGTTTTACGAGGGTTCAAAAATACTATTCCGTGTATGTTTGACACTCATTAAAGCAAACAAGGCTGCGATCATGCAGTGCAATGATTTCACTTCTTTGGCGGAATGTTTTAAGGCAATCGTTAAAAATGCTAGCGCACTACACTGCCATGAGTTTATGCAGGTGAATATTGAGATTTATGTAAACAAAATATAAATAATTGTATGTTCTTAAGTCTTAAGCAACGTGTAATGAATTATTTTTTATTGTTTTCAGTCAATTTTTAAAGTGCCCGGTACGTTGTCTAACACAACCATAATTAAATTACGAGCCCGTATCGCGAAACAGCGCCGTGAACAACAACAAAAGGAGCCGCGATGAACATCCAACAGCATAATGGGAAATGATGATCTCATAGAATTTAAAACCAAATTCAGTAATACTTAGTACTTTATAATGTTTTTCATATAATATTATTAGTATTACAAACTTCTCCTACACAAAACTCCTTGACATAAAAATCCCAATAAAAAAAAAGCCATCATTTATAACATGACAAATCAATGTTTCATGATTTAATTAGATTTTGGTGAATTTTCTTAAAGAGCATTTAATTAATTTTTCTGTGTCTTAAATGTAGATATTTTCTACTATTTCATTTATAAAACTTTGAATCACAAAATCATAGAAAATCACATTAGACTAGTCCATGTCTCTTTAAACTTCTTTACATTTTTGATGCAGTTTAAAATCATGAAATTGAAATATATTAAAATCACACATGACATATTAATAAATACTTTTGATGCTATGCATTTTGGTTTAAGTATTTTACTTATAAGTTAGTCGTGTAAGCTGTAATTTTTATTTTATTTTTGCATATCATTAAAATATTTTTTAGTGTTGTTATTATTTATTTGTTATTTTGTACAAATATCAATTGTACCTGTATTGATTTGTAGATAATATTCATTATTTATCTCCCATAATAAAATATATAGCGATTTATATTATTTTGTTAATGGGACAGAGGCAAAACAAAATGAATACCAACTATTCGTTTAGGTATTTATGAGGTCCTTAGTGATACAGTAATATTTAGGTTCGGTAGACGGTTTTAAAGTTTGGTTTATATTTATTTGTATAAATTTGAAACACGATAAATTTACATAGGTGTTTATTCTAATGTACTAGTTTATTTTGAACAGTTGTGAACAAATGACAATAATTTTCGCATGTCTGTCAATTGCAATAGTTTCATAAAAGCGTAGGTTTCCACAAAGTAGCTTCATGACTAACCGTCTAATAAAGTACATCATCTAATGTTTGTAATTTGTTGTCGTGCGAACTATGATATCATCAGTGGCTGAGATATCTTAATCTTACAGCGAGAATGGTTGAAAATTAGGTTACGGATTGCTCAATAGAATTTCGCTTGAATTTATTTCCTAGAAAAATTATTATTGTTAATAATTTCGAAAAATGTACAATTTTAAAGATTCACGTCTTCTTAAAGTTTAAATAGTGCTAGAATAATATTTGATGTTTAATATATTATAGTTAGTGTCAAAAATATATTTAAATAGTATTTTCTTGATATTTTTGTATTAATAATTTTTTAACTTATATCTGTGTGTAAATGTACTGTGATTGATGGTTTTCGTGTGAAGCTGCAGATTGCTTGTTAAAAGTATTGCCATAATAAATGTTTAGGTTTTTGATTGAATAGACTATTGAGGCGTTGAAAATGTTTTTATTTTATTCATTTGGTACAAGCAATTATTTTAATCTAATAATTCTGAAACTTATGAGAATTATTTTTTTCCTTCCAATAAACAATTTACATAATTTCTACCACTCATAACGAAGATTACGAGTAATCCGACTGATAAGTCCTTCATGCAGCATAAAAAAAATCCTTGTCAGCCTTTCGCCTGAGAATAAAATGTGCAGAATATAAATGCTATTTTACACTTGTTGAACCAATCATAGGATCTGATGTGCCTTTGAACTGGCGGGTGCAAACAAAATTCCGTCTGCAATCGTATCCCCTTAATCTTTGGCTGGCTCTACTCTATGGTCTCCAAGTGATGTTGACTGTCGTCGACAAACTCACAGCCCACCTGATGCTAAGTGGTTACCGGAGCTCATAGACATCAACGATCGAGAGATCATAATAACATTGAGAAATGAATAATGTCTCAGTTTTACACTTTTTTCCCTACTTATCCGCTGGTAGCCTAAGAGGCTAATCCAGCTAAGCGCGGACAGGTAGGTGGGGTCACGGACTCGAGCTGAGAGAATTACTAACATTACTTCAGTTATCTAATATCTTAAATTATGTGATTATTACCCGCTACATCTGCTTCCCCGTTCTGTCGCTCTGTACCCCAAACGGCGACTAGCACTTTCGCATAGCCTATATTGTTTTGTATTTCGTTTTTCTTACAGAATTTCGACTATGACATGTTTGTACCTATTTCTCTTTACATGTGCCCATACATTACTTCAGTGCGCCCATAGAATTCCTCTGTTATTTGTTTTAGCGTATGTTAGTCTCATTACCTGTTGTAAAAGAAATATAGTTTACACTTATACTTTATAACAATATTTAATTTAAGAACAAGTTTCTCGTGTTGAGATGTGTTTATGAAGTATATGTTGGAAGACGATCAATAAATAATCGGAGGTTGCGTACCCTTGTATGCGAAAAGCTCTAAATAGTTCTCAGAGCGCGAGTTTTACTCACAATTGTTCCGGCATATAACGCGTATTCTATTTACTTCTTTTGTATTGTATCGGTGACTTAAAAGTACTTTTTAGATTTTTTATTTTATTCAAAATAAAATTGTGATATTAAAAAACCGGAAATGGTATTGATTCTTCTGAACCTTTTTTTTTTGTCGAGCCACACGATTTCAATATTTGGCATAAAAAAATTGCTCAGAGTGTATCCCAAAAATTTTGTGGCAAGTGCCCCCGACACTGGTTAAAAACCACGTTTGGGGCTGTTTAACGACAAAGGGAAGATCTTCCACAGTCCGAATGTTGTTGTTCGGAACTTGTATATATGGGTCATACACAAAAAGGGTAAAAAAAGTGTTATAGCAATGTATCATCTAAAAGAGCAAATTGGCGAATATTTGAAAGTATTTAAATCGTAAAGGTACTATATTACCACTCATTTTAATCGTATCTTGTAAAATATTACATTTCATAAATTCATTTTGATGGCGTTAAACATCAAAAAATCTCTTCCTGTGGACTGTTACAAGACGAAGGTATAATGTTTGAGCCATGTTTAAAAATAGTTAAAGTACCCTATATATTAAAATTATTTACTTGTAACACAAACAATATAATAAAGATGATAATATTGAGAATAAAAAAAGAAATCGTTACTATCTGTATACAATAAATCCAATAAACTTATGGTTACATGAAATGGAGTATTTTCTGTGGACGCGATAAAACGACATCAAATTTTAATTTATTCGACCGCATTAAGTTTATGTTTTTAACTGTTGGCATCACTAAGTAGTGGCCATTCCGGCGTTTGATATTTTGTTGTTTCGATTCCAGTGCGAGTGAAAATATATTTTTTATTCCAAAACACACATAAACGTAAAAGATCAAGTGTTCTTTCCTGTTCCAATTATAGACATGTAAATATTATCTATAAAAATGTATATTTATTGTTTTTATATGAGCATTTAGTACAAGTAAATGAAAAGCATGTTGCTTGATTTCTAACCTCAAAGTTAATTTCTTTATGCAAGAGTTTTTATAATACATCTTTTCTGTGGACATCTTTCCCGTGGTCACGATGTCCACCGAAAAGACTATGTCCACAGAAAATGTGTAAGAAACATACCTTAGTAGGTCTAAGCAGAGAAAGTAGTAAGTAGAAAAATAGTTGAACCGAGGGCCTACTCCTTTTTTAAAGTTGGTTAGAAAGAGGTTTGATTTTGGCAACATTTGATATTCTAAGTTAGAGCCTCAAACTTTTTAGTACATTTTATATTCGCAATAAAAAAAGTTATAAATCTAATCAATGTAAATAGAGGAAACGAAATCATTTTTTTATTTCCATTGATTTCGTTCAGGGGGTTCAACCCTTGGGTCGTGGGTTGGTCCATATCTTGCTTCGTTTTAGTTTATACTGATTCAGACGATTCTGATAGTTCTCTGGAAATATTTTGAAATAATCAAAGTCCTTAAATTTCATTACATTACATATTAAAATTCATTAGCTATCTAAAGAATTATATACCAGTAATATACCATGGCTGTAAAATTATTATCATTCGAAATTTCGTTTTGTTTCATAAGTCCACCGAAGGGATTTTCCTTTCTGTAGACATTATTATTGAATTTTTCTATTCCAATTAATGTGATTATTTTGACATTTTATTTGCGTTTCGGTATTCGTTTATATCAGTGGCTACATGTGTTTGATTATGTTGTCTTAATATATTTTAGCTTCTGCTGCATCACAGCTTTTCATCTCTCTTGTAGACTAAATCGTCTATTCTGTGGTCCGCAAAAATATAAAAATTGTGATTATGCCAAAAATAAGACACATTGATCTCCGTTACAGGGATTAAAAGATTGATAATCAATAGTTAAATAATAAATAGTTTGTTTCACACTGATTCTGAGTTTTTTTTTTGCTGCACTTTTAGTTCTCTATTTGTGTATGACCCATATGCGCTTTATCTTGAAAATGTCGTAAGCGAAATTCAGGAATCTGTCAATTATCTTGCGTTGTATGATAGCCATCACACCCAACACACACGAATTTATGGCATAATACATATAAATGAGCACTATATGTAGAAAATTCAATGAAATAGGTTAAGAATAAAAAACCATGGTAATTTGAAAAATATCTCTACTTAGCAGCTGCATTTGTAATGCAACTAAAAATTAAATAACTAAACATTTGTTAATACTAAATTCATTATTAAATCTAGACACAAAATGATCACAATCAAAACTAAGTCTGCAAAACTTTCGTATTTACAAAAAATATTGTTGTGCCTATGATTTTCCACTTTCAAGTAGATCTTTAGCTTCATTGATCTTTGCTGCTATGAGGGGTGACCCACCCCTATCAGGATGATTTAATAGCATTATTTTACGGTGAGCATCTCGAATCTGAAAAAGAAACTTGTGAATGAAATAAACTGTACAATTACTATTAAGATATTTTAATATCTAAATGAGGGCTTTTTATGTGACCATGATATTTATAGCTGAAAATCAAATATGTATTCTTTATAATCACTGGAAAAATATGTTTCATATCGCTATATTTAATGTTTTAAATTAGACAAAGTTAACAACCTATACAATTCAATTGAGACTTCAACTGCAAGGTTGATATTTGAGGAAGTATTCACACTGTGATACATATAATGTATGGAGCTTCAAAACAACTTGGAGCATGAGCTTGTTGACTCATCTAAGCAAGGAAAAACTAATACTTAATAGTTGATTGGAATTTAAGGTGAATGTATGTACTTTTTATGTACTTATAAACATTGTCTAGCTAAGGAAACATTTTTGATCTTGTTTTATTTAATTTTACTACCCATTTTATAAGTTACAGATGTTATTAGTTATAATACAACAATTTACAGCTAACAATAACATTAAAACTAAGTTATGCAGATGTTAAATATATGTATAGACTGCCCAAGACCGATGTAAATGGAAGGATTTGATTCGAGTCCTACACCCCAGCAGAGGGTAGTAGGAAAAAAAAGAGGAGAAGTGTGCATCATAAATATTAGCTTGTACACCTGGATAGATTTCACTGCTCACGTACAGACTTGCCAGGAAGTAGGGCCCTCATGTATCAGCAGGGCTTTAGCCATTTTTTAGCGCTGTATCAGGTATGGTCCTACTTCTTTTGCAATCATAACAGTTTTATGCGTTCCAGTTTGAAGGACAAAAAAGGCCTATTATGCCTTTTCTACCGTTTGCCACTCCTAAGTGTATCCATGACTAAAGGTGTCTTGCTGTCAAATAAGCTGCTTAAAGACAATCAAAAATATTCACCTTAGCTTTACTGGCTGTGGGGCTCACGCCTAAAATAAGAGCCGCTTCCCTTTTCGTCATTTTTGGTTCAAATCCACCTTTGTAATATTTAGAATTTGCTAATGTTTCAGAGTCGAATTTAGGTAAATTCTTCACTGCTTCGGCAAATTTCATTGAAGCGTTTGGCATTTGCTTTAGAACATATCGGCCGGCGAAGCCGACCGCTGCCATACCAAGACCTGCCAGAATTATTGAGCTAGCCTGAAAAGTAATTGGATACCTTAAGTACTAAATGCGTGGTACTAATTATTTTTATTATTTCGAATCTCAAAATCTTTGTTTTTGAATGGTGCACAGGTGAGTAAAATTAGGGTTATGTTGTGTCAGAAAGCTGGATGAAAAGTTGCCCTGCTGTTCATTTAATGTTGCTTTTATTACTAATGCAATAAAGGGGACGACGTAACCGATACCCAAAGAAAAAATTTCAGACCCCTTTTTAAGAAAGACATATCAGATATCCTGTAACGTTATATTGTTACGATGATCTATGAAAAAAGCATTAATAACTATTTGGAATTTGAAGTCTATAAGATTATTTTATAACCTACCATAATAACCTGCGTATCAAATGGTTTTGATAACAAACAAATTCATAATCACTTGTGTGTACAAATCACAGTGAGTTTTATTGATATTTTCAATTTTCAATTTCGTATTTAGACACAATTTATAAAATTAAAGTAGTAGTAATTTTATTTTACCAATTGGAAAGGCCACGATGTCAGACCATACAGCCTAATCTTTTGTATATATATTTTTTTTTATAAATGAAAAATGATAATATGACGTGAAATGAAATGTGATGAGATGAGATGATATGGGATGAAATATAATCTCAGTAAAATGGTAGGTAGTCATTTACTGAGACTTCTGGGAGGATCCCGAAGAGTTACATCCAGTGGCTTTGTTTTATTTTCCCACATTTGTGAACTTTCACAGATACTAAACAGTTGATAAGCAGCTTAAACCCGAAGAAACAGTAAATAGACAAAATAAAACAAATCAAACAACTTCACTCTGGCGTTCCCGCCAAAAAATCTAGAACAATAAAATTGAGTCAAAACTCAGGGGGCTTTCAAACTCTAGATAAATAATATGTGTATCTATGCTCAAGATTTTCACTTATGTAAGTTCAGTAAGTTGGTTCTACACAATCCTACAAGATCTAACTAAAGACATAATTTTATGGAAGTGATTTTATTTTTTATGCTAATTTTTATGAATTTTAAAGTTTAGTCTTTGACTTAATCGGACTTATTTACACAGTCAATAAGTCAAATTATCTGTACTATTTACTAAATCCAATTTAATTACACTATTTAAGACGATTTCTTGTTTTAATTTGTGAAAAACTAAATTCTGAACAATCTAAAAGACAATAAATTTAAATATAATAACATTTTTTTTACTTATTGTCAAAATTCGATAATCTATTCATCACGTTCCCAATACCGGACCTCTTTGTCAGCGAGTGAAATAAATCTCAAAATAGTTGAGAAATTAAGTAGGTACATAATATTTCCAACTTTTTATGTTCATTTAGTCGATGTTTTCATTGTTTTTTTAACTGGCAACAAAAAAGAAAGTGGCCAGTAGTATGGCATGTTGGTTGGATGAAAAAAATTGTTCCTTTTGAAGAAGTTCAACATGGCAGGAGATCAGGCGCAATTTTATCAGTTGCTAAATACTTTACTTTCAACCGATAATGATATCAGATCCCAAGCAGAGGTATGATAAAGTTCTGTAATTTCTATTTGCAATTATTGCACTATGAAAATAAATAAACTGCCTTGTCTCGACAAAACAGAAAGCCTCGTGTCAAAACGTGGTCATGGAGGTTCCGAACGAATATAGTTTTTTGAAGCGATAAAATATAATAGCATTTGCACATTAACTACTTTATAAAATTGTTAGTACTGAGTAATCTGGTGTTTTACTGCTTTATTTTGTATTCAAACCTTACTATATTGGTACCGCCACATACAACCGCTTTTGGAATTTAGGAGGGCGGGTACGCACATGTCTTGTTTAACATAGAAAAATAAGGTTAGTTATAGAATACACTCGCATCATAATAATAATTGTCAATGCTGTTGTTAATTACAATATTGATAAGTGTGAAAATTTTCGGTCGTAACTTCAAACTAAGGTTGAGGTCAAGTTCATGACCATTTTGCCTATTTCATTACATAAGAAAATAGGCGGTGCCCGTGACCTTAGCGAGAATTTTTGGTACCTAATAAACTGCGGAACAGATTTAATTAAAACTGATTTTTTTTAAAGGACGCATACAACAACATTCCAACAGAAACAAAAGTAGTGCACCTAGTGAATTCAATTCAAAATGCAGACATTGCCGAAGATGTGCGTCAAACGGCGGCCGTGCTGTTACGAAGATTATTTAGTGCAGAATTCTTTGAGTTCTTCCCGAAATTGCCATTTGAGCAGCAGACAGTGCTCAGAGAACAATTGTTACTCACCCTTCAAATGGATCTTTCCCAGTACTTACGAAGAAAGGTGAGTTGTATGTATGAGTATGTAATAAAAGCAATTGATGCAAAAAATAATTAGAGAACACTTGTTTCTGAACACGAACAGAAAATATTAATATTAAATTAGTCACTGCTTATTATTTTTGACAGTATTAGTCACTTCACACAACTTACCTTTCCTTTTTTTCTGCAACAGTACACCTGGGATGATATTCTTTCTCTTCTCTTCTTATATTCTAATATTGAGTGGTCACCATACCACATAGACTTCATGTGAACGCTACCACCCAGTTTAAACTCTTTTAAAATTAATTAAGGCATATCTGTGTATTGAAGGCTTACTTGTAAGCTATCAGTTTTCTCCACTCATTGTTTTTTTTTTGGCTTGAAATACTGTTTATCATCATCATTATCTAATAAGAATTTATCAAACAAGTCCTCAATCATCAAATCTATGGGGAGGCTATGTAATCAGTTTAACCAAAATTCTGAAGATGACTGTAAGGTGGTAATAATACATGGAGATTTTTATAAACTTTAAAGAAATGGATAGTACAAAATTTGTATAAAAAAATTAAAATGTTCCTTATGAACAATGATGAGTATTTTTGTCCTTCAGTGATATTGAAATCAGAATGTGCTTAAAATCAGTCTTCTTGTTTTAGTCCTATTAGTTGGGATGTGTTGATTATATTTCTGTCACAATAATATAGTTTTTATACTATATTGCATCAAGTTGAGAACATATGATGCTGTCTTCATGTCAGAGAGAGATGTAAATTGTAGTAGATTAGTCATTAAACTGAACCAAACCTTTCTGCAACTGATCTATTTAGAAATATTAAAAATGATGTGGTTTTGGAAAAAAACTAATGAATAAGTGATCAGTAATCTTACTTTATCAATTTTGGGGATGTGTGTTTGAATTTAAGGTTTACTTAAATACTTTGGAACAACAATACTTTCACAGTGAAAAATAAATAAGTAATAAACAATTTTTTTTATTAAAATGTCCATTTACTCATCAGGTTTGTGATGTAGTCTCTGAACTGGCTAGGAATCATATTGATGACGATGGCAACAACCAGTGGCCTGAGTTCCTACAGTTCATGTTTACCTGTGCCAGTGCGCAAGATCCAAACATCAAAGAAGCTGGTATTAGAATGTTTACGTAAGTTTCAATTATTTTAATTCAATTTTTTTTCTTACATGTTTTATTTTACACAATAAATCTTTGTTTATTGTTAACAGGTCTGTACCAGGTGTATTTGGAAATCGTCAGACTGAAAACTTGGATGTGATAAAAGGCATGTTAATATCTGCTTTGCAGCCAAATGAATCGATGGCTTTGCGAACTCAGGCAGTTAAAGCTGTAGGCGCCTTTATACTACTACACGATAAGGAGCCCATCATACAAAAGCATTTCAGTGATGTTCTTCTACCTTTGATGCAGGTTTGTAGATTTGTTCTCTATACAGTAAATAGTGCACTGATCACATCCATAGCCAAGATCAGAATAATTCTTAACCTACAAAGAAAAAATAAGTGAATAATTATATTTGCCTGCTTAATATGATAAACTCAAGTTTTTTTTTTATGTATGCACAAATACTCCTACGTGCACATTTTCTATAATAAAATGTGTTACTGCCAAATTGTGCAAAATTGAATTTGGAATTTCGCTAACACCAGCCTTGTCTATAAGCTGGAGTTTGATAGTAATTCTCAATACATTTAAATTCTTAAATGATCTTCAAAAGGGATAGTATTATATTTTGAATGAAATAGTACATGTTTTTGTTATCAGGTAATAGTTCTGTCTATTGAAGCAGCTGATGATGACTCTGCATTGAAAGTACTCATTGAGTTAGCAGAATCAACACCTAAATTTCTCCGACCCCAGCTGGAGACCATATTCCAAGTTTGCATAAAGGTATGTAAAAAATGTCTAAAATTACCAATTCATTTACAAAAAAATTGGGAATGGGTAAAGAGACCATAAACGAAACAGCCATAAAAAGTAGAACCCTAAAACATAAAACTACTCATTTAAGAGTGCCAGTGAACTTGTGACCTTAGTGTATGTTTAAGGAGCATGCCCCCATTAATTAGGATTGTGGTAATTACTTGTTGTTTTAGTTAAATTTTTGTTTGAAAGCATAATCAGAAACTAAAAGTGGCTAAATTGACATTAATTTGTATCACTATTGAAGATCAATGAGAGTCTTATTGCTACAATTGATATTTGAAATAATTATATCTGTTATTGTAGTTTGATATAGCAAACTGTTTATTGTATGGTATAAAAATATCATTTTACAAATCAAATTAGGTGGTTGGGGACAAAGATGCTGAAGATAACTGGCGCCAACTGGCACTTGAAGCGATGGTAACATTATGTGAGACAGCACCAGCCATGGTGCGTAAACAAGTGCCCAATGCCGTGAGCATGCTCACTCCACTTGTACTTGAGATGATGTGTGAGCTTGATGAAGAGCCTGACTGGACCATACAGGACAACACTGCTGATGACGATAATGACCAGTAAGTTACCATTTTAATGATCCTCATATTGCAAACCCAAATGGTTCAAATAACATAGTTCCTGGTCTTGATAGGAAATATGTAATCATATTTACAGATTTAAGCCTAACTGTTTAAAGGTTTTACATATGAGTCGACTATTATCAAAGCCGGCAATCTGACTTTTGGACAATGATTGGTAAATCAGAAAAACGAATTATTGACTTTGTATTCCATTGGCAGTCACAAAACTCTTCGGAACGACATCTTAGATAAATAACAGGTTAACTATTAACCTTTATTTAATGCAGGTTTTGAACCGTATTCTTTGAAGGAGACGATTATATTCAAATCAATCTGTATTGAAATATCAATATTTTTTTTTTGTCCAAATGCACAGATTGCCACCTTTGATAATAGACGACTCATATATTACAATATATTAATTAAGCTGACAGTGGAGATAAAAAGGCCGCGGCTCAGCTTTGTGATAGCTGAAGCTATCGCTCCTATTCTGCCGCTGCCTGTAATTTTAATCTATAAACTAATCTAATCTATAAAATAAACTAAACTACTAAAACTAAAATAATATAAACTAAACTACTAAAACTAAAATAATATAAACTAATCTATAAAAAATAATCTAATAATACCTAAATTTAAACATGTGGCATAATTTACAAAATCCCTCACGAAGATCACGAAGGTGAGATGTATAGAAATGTATCTGCAGAACTTAAAAGCGACCGGGATTCTGTATCTAATAGGGTTTTAAATTCAAATTCAATTTTATAAACATCAAGTTCATTTTCTATGCCAAGGCTAGAAGTTTTTTTCTTATATTATTCTTTTAAAATTGAAAAGAAAAAAACGCAAAAAACATGTTATAATAATTAAATGTCTTCAAGTCATTTTGCGTTTTCATCTTCTTTTTTCATTTCTAGTTTTGTTAATTTTAAAATAATAATAAATAAATAAACTACTAACCTTGGAATAGGGATTAAATTAGATATTTACAAAATTTAATTTCAAATTTAAAACTTATATATCGCTCCACCCAATAGTCCTTATGACTAAATAGCAAATACGCTTATCTTAAAAAAAACGTTTCTCGTAAACTATGTACCACGTATTTTAATATTAATGTAGGATTGGTAAGAACGGAACGTATGAAAAGAGTGTGAAACGGAGCGTTAAGATGTGAGTGAGAGAAAACAGAAAGAAAGGGAGAAAAGAATGTCAGAGAAAAGGAAGATGGCGAAGATGGTTAAAAAATGAGCAAGGCGTTATAAAAGTATTTTTTTTTTTTTTTTATTGCTTAGATGATTGGACGAGCTTACAGCCCACCTGGTGTTAAATGGTTACTGGAGCCCATAGACATCTACGACGTAAATGTGCCACACACCTTGAGATATCAGTTCTAAGGTCTCACTATATCTCACTATAGTTATAACGGCTGCCCCACCCTTCAAACCGAAACGATTATATTCAAATCAATCTGTATTGACATATCAATAAAAAAAATTTGTCCAAATGCACAGATTGCCACCTTTGATAATAGAAGACTCATATATGCTACTGTGTTTGTAATTAGACTAATGTTAATTTCGGACAGCACCAATTAAATGCTATGTAAGCAAAGTGCTTCAACCTGGTTAAAAACCCCCATACCCAACCTAGATAAAATAAGAATTACCGTATTGAATAATATGATAAATCTGCTTGCTGATGAACAAACTTATTCAAAGTAAATTCAAAACCTGTAAGGTCTTATTATTTGAATTTATACATTACTATGAATTCTCAGAAGATCTTACTAAACGAACAGCGAGATTATTAGCATTCATATGTGTCTCTGTATATGAGTGTCAGTCCCTCGCTAACATTAATGTTATAATATTGAATGCAGTGGCTTGACTATCATTTGGTGTTGATAGCCAAGATAAACACAGTAGTGATATTAATTGATTACTAAAAAAAAGCTTGGTGCACGCATACAAAGGCAAGCTAAACTCATTCAATTTAATATTTCACTAACTTAAACTTAGTTCATCGTCAAATCAAATTATTAAATATAAACTTTATTAATTTACAGGAATTATGTGGCAGCAGAATCAGCATTGGACCGCATGTGCTGTGGTCTTGGTGGCAAGATAATGCTGGGACTTATTGTGGGACAAGTACCTGTAATGTTGCAATCTGAAGATTGGAAGAGACGCCATGCTGCCTTGATGGCTGTCTCCTCAGCTGGTGAAGGGTGTCATAAACAGATGGAACAGATGCTCGACCAAGTTGTTACTGCTGTTCTTAATTACCTGAGTGACCCTGTAAGTGGAAAAACTGTTTAATACTTACAAAATATCTTGTTTTGGTAAGAATATTGTTAAGCCATAAATTAACATCATATTTTCCTTTACCTTATAGCATCCCCGAGTACGTTATGCAGCTTGCAATGCAGTAGGGCAAATGTCAACTGATTTTGCACCAGTGTTTGAAAAAAAATTCCACAGCAAAGTTGTACCTGGACTTCTGATGGTGCTCGATGATAATGCTAACCCGCGTGTACAGGTAAGCAAATACATTTTTATAACAAGAGCTATGGCACCAATGGCACCTATCAAATATTCTGTATATTATAAAAGACAATTTGATCAAAACCATAATTACCATGAGAGTGTCAAGTGGAATTATCTTAAATAAAAAAATTGTTTATTTCTCAATATCAGTTTTAGAATAGTCTGTGCATCATATCATTATTAATTCATATGCATATTTCAGGTCCTATCAATGGCTTCATCAGAGCCTAAATTCTCTATGTCATCAGTTTTCTCTTTACCACAAACCCAAATTTACTTAGTGTCACACTAACTCGTTTTATTTAATAGTCTGTGTGCACTCCTGTCATGGATTCTATTTTATAGGCCAGCAGTGCCATGAGTTGATTATTTTATACATTATCGTGCTCGCAAGCATTAACATTGTATAGGATACCAATGCCAATTTTCCAAAACTAGTAATTAATATGGTTCCTGGAATATATGCCATCTTTGATTGTATAGAACTGTATACATTACAAGAGTAAACCTATTGGTTAACTGAGAATTCTGAGCACTTAGAAAATGCTGGACTTTATTCCACCCTGTCTGTGTGTGGCTGAAATTATACAAACACTTTCATTTTCAAAGATTCTTCATAACAAACATAAAAATGACACATACACTTACCTTATTTTGACAGTTTAAATGTTAATTCATGTCTTTACAGGCTCATGCAGCAGCTGCTTTAGTAAACTTCAGTGAAGACTGTCCTAAACCTATCTTGACTCTGTATCTTGACCCATTAATGAAAAAGCTAGAGGCCGTCCTAACTACAAAGTTTAAAGAGGTGAGTTAAATCTATATGATGTTAAAACGTATTGTTTTAGATTACTTTTGTGGTTTTCATATTAATTTTAGAGTATTCACTACCCAATGTTCGTTAGTGATATGATCACATCTTGGTCAAATGACTTCCATAGCATTGGTATATTGAATGTGGTAATTTGCTCCCTTTCTCTCTTTTATAGAAAGTCTGGGATCTCTGTACACATACATATTTTCACTACCATAAATTTCTTACTTTATACTAATTATCCAAACCTAGTCATAAATTTGCTGTGGTCTGTTCTGATATTAATTAAATATTTCCTTATTTTAAACTGATTTTGTTCACAATTTTGTCAATTTTTTTTTTAATGATGAACTGTAATTTTCTAAAATAATGAGAAAGACATTAGATGTTGTTTTTAAAAAGTACTGTATTACTATATAATTATGCTATATTCTTGCAAATGCCATTTAATTATATACTTTTATTTTTCAATTACATTTTCAACTTCATTTATTTGTATACATAAATGTGGCTAAATTGAAAAAAAATCTGTATTCTTATTTTTTTTTATCTTTTCTTGACAGTTGGTTGAATGTGGTACAAAACTGGTACTTGAACAGATTGTGACAACAATCGCCTCGGTTGCAGACACTGTTGAGAAAGACTTTGTCAAATATTATGACAGACTCATGCCCTGTCTGAAGTATATAATTGCCAATGCTACTACTGATCAACTTAAGATGCTGCGTGGCAAGACAATAGAGTGTGTCAGTTTGATTGGTAAGAAAATAAATCTCTATGATACATTTTTCTACTTACACACCCTATGCGGTCTCATTGATCAGTAAGGTCCTGGATATTTGCCATAAATATTCAGGTGTATGGGTTTTAATAAAAAGAGTTTGCCCATTTTACATACATATTGTAAAAGAATTACAACTTCATAAATAATTTTAACTAATCATTTCAACTAAATTAAGCTTGAAGCAATTAATTCTTATTACAATCAAAAATGATTTATAGGACTAGCTGTTGGAGAAGAGAAATTCATGTCTGATGCATCTGAAGTGATGGATTTACTTCTTAAGACCCACACAGAAGGTGAACAGTTGCCTGCTGATGATCCTCAGACATCATATCTTATCTCAGCTTGGTCTAGAATTTGCAGAATAATGGGTAAGTTTTTTTTTTTTTTTTTCATATATAAAGTTTAAAGTGTGTGTGTGTGGCCTTCATAAGACAGTGCGATTATGAATATTGAAGGATGTTTGTTTTTAAGTAATGTTTTTTTTTGTTTAATGTAAAAACTGAATACATGATTACCTTCACGACCAATGTCATTGAAGGTCATTTGTGCTATCAAAATAAATGGTACTCGAAAAATTTAAGACTACCATGCCATAAATTAAATCTTTATTGTTCAAATAGGCAAGAAATTCTCACAATATTTACCGATGGTTATGGAGCCGGTAATGCGTACAGCAGCAATGAAGCCAGAAGTAGCACTTCTTGATAATGAAGATTTAGAAACCATTGAAGGAGACCTTGATTGGCATTTTGTCACACTAGGCGAACAACAAAACTTCGGCATTAAAACTGCTGGTGATTATAAATATTATATATCTATGATACTTCTTATGTAGTATATAAGAATCTGTTTTTATTTTGCACTTGTGTGTTACTTATATATACTATATATTTGATACATTTGATTGAGATTAACAATTTTCAAAACTTAATAATTACACCAAGGTTATAAACATAGTACAATTTTCTTAACGTGACAGGCATGGCATTTGGCAACCTGTATAATATTTAATCTTACTGAGAACAGGTATCAGAGATTAATTTTTATCACAACCACTTTATTTCTGAACTCCTATATGTGCATGTGAAAACATGGTCAATACTTGTTGCTATATTAAATTCAAATCTTCTTTAGCTGACTACATGTCTGACTACATATATAATTAATTAAGCATAGTTTGATATTTTACAGGACTTGAAGACAAAGCTTCTGCTTGTGACATGTTAGTTTGCTATGCTCGAGAACTAAAGGAAGCATTTGCTGAATATGCTGAAGACGTTGTAAAGCTAATGGTGCCCATGTTGAAGTTTTATTTTCACGATAATGTGAGAACTGCTGCAGCAGAATCCCTGCCTTATCTCCTTGAATGCGCCCGCATTCGCGGCCCGCAGTATATTCAAGGAATGTGGGCTTACATAGTTCCTGAACTGCTTAAAGCCATTGACTCTGAGCCCGAACAAGAAGTGCAAGTTGAACTGCTCAACAGCTTAGCCAAAGTACGTTGTATTTTGTGGAAGGCATTTGTTATTCTCTCAAATTACGAATTTATAGTAATTAGATTACAATTTGCAGTGTATCGAACTTTTGGGCATGGGTTGCCTTTCTAACAATGAGATGATGGCGGAAGTCTTGCGTATTCTCAACAAGCTATTAACTGAACATTTCGAACGGGCTACTGAAAGGCGACAAAAGCGTGCCGATGAGGATTATGATGAGGTGTGTCTTATCGTTGTATTCAGAAGCTTCATATTTTGATTGTTTAAACATAAAAATCTAAGATAAAAATGTCCATAATAAAAACTTAATAATTATAGGTCTTAGAAGAACAATTAGCTGATGAAGATAATGAGGATGTGTACAGTTTGTCTCGCGTAGCAGATGTATTACATGCGCTCATGTCTGCTTACCGCGATTCGTTCTATCCTCATTTCGACACGTTGTTGCCCCATCTTGTGCAGCTACTTGCGCCTAATAGGCCTTATTCTGATCGCCAGTGGGCCATTTGTATTTTTGATGACATAATAGAATTCGGAGGTAAGTCATTTTGTCACAGCCGAAATAAAATCGTTAATAGTTTATATGCTCTGAGACAGATGTTATTCACTGCAGGTCCTGCTTGTGTGAAGTATCAAGATATATTCCTGGAGCCAATGTTGAATGCATTACGTGAATCTGAACCGGAAGTGCGTCAAGCCGCGGCCTACGGTTGCGGCGTACTGGCACAGTTTGGTGACGTACAGTTTGCAGCCGCCTGCGCACGAGCTGTACCTCTTTTGGCCGCCATTGTCGCAGAGCCGGACGCGCGCTCTCTTGAAAAGATCAATGCAACTGAAAATGCTATTTCTGCCGTCGCTAAAATTATCAAATACAATCATTCGCAAATAAATAGGGATGAAATCATCACGCATTGGCTGACATGGTTACCGGTGACTGAAGATACCGAAGAAGCGCCTCACGTGTACGCCTTATTATGCGAGCTCGCGAGCAGCGGACACGGTGCTTTATCGACACCTGATGCCCCGCAACGTGTGCTGGCCACACTCGCCGAAGCGTTTCGCGCCGACGCTGTACCAAACGATAACCCTGTCTATGCGCAAATGGTTGCATTACTTCGACAGATACAGGTAAATATTATTATTAATTGTTATTATTAATATAAATTTAATAAATAGGTATCGATTGGTTCGTTAATCACCTCAGAGAATTGGGTTTTATTTTTGAACTGAGTCACTATTTTGATGAAGGATGAGGTTGCTTGATTGGTTTTGAGATGAACATGTTCTTTTCTGGTGTGTATTTCTGGCACCAATTTGTGTTCCGTGTCTTCTGTTATTTTTGATTTTAAATAAACATTAAAAAAAAACTTCAATAATACTTTTTCCTTTTCAGTCAAATGCCGAATTATTTAATTCATGCCTCATGACTTTAAGTAACGACCACAAGGAAGCTCTGCAGATAGCTCTGTCCACATAGTAACGACGCCCTATCGACGCCCTGCACATTATTCTGGCTACTCCCGCTACTTATAAATTATTGCACGTTATTTTAAAGGCATAACATGTATTTATTGTGAAAGCTCAAGGAGCTGATGACTGTTCATGGAATTATTGTTATAATTATAAAATTGTCAATACATCACTCCATTTGTTAATTGTTTTCTTTCGAGAAGAATAATAATAGTTTTCATATAAGTGCTTATATTGGGCTGATTCGAATTGCTGTGATATACCTTACCGGTTTATGCCTGGTGAAATGGTGCGATTGCATTTCTCCATATTTACGGTCATTTCAACAGTTCCGTAATTGTACATATTAGAAGTTCGAAATGACGAAAGATGGCCTGATTTGACAAAATCGAAACTGATAACGCACTACGTTATGTAGTGTGTTATGCTGCTTTGTTAATATCTACATTATTGCTTGGAGTGTGTACATACTATTTTGGTTATAATTTATTGAAGTCTTAATACAATAATATGCAACGTTGCATTATAATCTCACTGTTGAAAATAAACAAACTGTTAGTTGTAAATTGGGCTGTCTACCTACATTTGATAAAATTACTACACGGAGAACTAGGTGGTCATTTCAGCAAAACTTCGTGTTTATTAAGAAGTAATTTTATTCAATTATATATGTATTGTATACACATATTTGTTTAAACAAAAAATAAAAATATTGACATTATGAATAACTTTCATTTGCGTACATAATCGTGAACACGTTTCATAAATGAAACGATTGGCAAGGTTTCGCGGGCGTCGCGCGGCGTTTGGGGCTAACTGTGCCGTGCGTGGAGGAGATACGGTGCGCCGCATCGTTCAACCGGTGCGGCTGGCCGCAGCCCCAGAGCAACCGTAGCGGTTGCCGGCTGACCTCAAATCGGTACGTAAAAATTGATGTGTGGCTTGCCGCAACAGCAGGCCGCATCGCGGCCAACCCCTAGTGCGTTCTAGGCCTAAGGCGTCCGGTGCATCCCTCGTATAGAGAGATACCTCGGTGTTCGAATACAGCAGGCGGGTACCAATTTTTCTAATGAAATACGAATCAAATGTTCACGATTGACTTCCACAGTGAAGTAATAACAACGTGTTATGAAAATCAAACCCGCAAAATTATAATTTTTGTAATTACCGGTGGTAGGCTGCCAATTTCAGCTGTGACGCAGTAATGCATTTCGGTTTGAAGGCTGGGACAGCTGTTCGACTGTAAAAACTGAGACTTAGAACTCATGTCTCAAGGTGCCTGGCGGCATTTACATTGTAGATGTCTGGGCTCCGGTAGCCACTTAACACCAGGTGGGCTGTGAGCTCGTCCATCCATATATGCAATAAAAATATTTATCAGGCATTGGACCGCATAGTTATGTTAATAAATGAATCTAAATTTGGAATTAATCGATTGAATATCTAATAAATGTCTTGTATTATTAAGATTAATTCACTTAAGTCCTTAACTCATTAGTTAATTAATTTCTCAATTACTAGGCATCCAAAAAACTAACGGAATCTATACTCTATCTATACTAATATTATAAAGAGGAAAGATTTGTTTGTTTGTTTGTTTCGAATAGGCTCCGAAACTACTGGACCGATTTGAAAAATTCTTTTCCATTAGAAGCCGACATTGTCCGTGATGAACATAGGCTACATTTTTAAAAAAAAAAAATTTTTATTTTTTTGGTTTCATATTGTGTGTTTTAATGTTTCCGAAGCGAAGCGAGGGCGGGTCGCTAGTACTAATATATAAATCTACAGTGGTTTTTACGGATGTTCCGTTATAGCTACTGAACCATGCATCCGATTGACTTGAAACTTGGTATCCATGTAGAAAATACATGTACCTACTGATATGCTAATAATATATATTAAATATGAGTGTTGGACTCCCTAATAATAATGACAATAAATAATAATGTTAATTTTAAATGCCCAGCGAAGCGGGCGTTTAATGAAATTAAAATACTATATTGGTAAACAATCATAATCTAATCTAATAATAATGTTAATTTTAAATGCCGTACGGCTAGTTATCAATATTTCTAGTGGTACTTTTTATCACAACGTACCAGAGCGTCAATGAAGCTTATACATTTTGACCAAGTTGTAGTTGTGGCACCAAATTCGCTTTAGTTTTTGTTCAAGATAATTTTAAACAAAAAAAAGTAGTAATTATTTTATGACTTATTTATTTAGCATTATCAAAGTGCACAAGTGTGAAATAATGAAACAAGTTTCGACGTCTCGAGTTCTTTTAAAGTCTACTACTATGGTTTAAATAAAAACCCATCATTGTAACATTATTCATCTCATCTCTTTTCATTCCATTTCATTCATTTTGCCAAAACAAATATATCATTTCATCATAAGTACAAATTTAGATAAATCAACTTCTTTCATTTCAGTCCATTTCATCTTTACATCCTTATAAAGATGAGGCTGATGAGGCGTGTTTACGCTAGCAGGTTTTAAACAAGGCTTTCACTTCGAAGTACGGACGGCGCCGCGCACAGAATACTATTACTTCTAGCGCCCTGGTGTGAACAAAAATACTTGCAAGTATGAAAATAGGTATATGTGCTAGATCGGATGCTCAAAAAACTTTGAACACTCACATGAAAATACTGCATAGGAAAGTGATTCATATTTTGTTAGGAATAAAAAACACAATTGGATTTGTGCCTAAAAAATACTTTGAACTTCAAACAGTTTTTTATTTATACGATTGTGCTCCTTATTCGTTATGGGATACGGGTTGAATTCCTAAGCAAGTATTTTAAAATTTGAACACCACGGCGTCTTAAATTTTAAAATTTTCATTAAAAGTGTCTGCTCGTGAAAGCGATGACGAAGGACCCTCCACGCCGAAAAAAAAATATAACTTATAAGCAGAAATCTATATATATAAAAATGAATTGCTGTTCGTTAATCTCGCTAAAACTCGAGAACGGCTGGACCGATTTGCCTAATTTTAGTCTTGAATTATTCGTGAAAGTTCAGAGAAGGTTTAAAAGGGGAATAAATATGAAAATGATCGGAATTATATAAAAACAAACAATTTTGTTTTTCTTAGATGTGTCCCACATTGGATGGAATCCTTTTCTTTGTTTTAAGTTCATTTTATTCAAAAGCTTAGGTCTCTTATTTATCAATTGAGGCACTACGAAGTCTGCCGGGTCAGCTAGTTTCCAATAAAAGTATGTTTCTTTTTTACTGCAAAATCACTGTACTGATTTTTATGATTTACTGTATTTTCCTACCGTAATTTTACATGCGGAGCACTGTATTTTGTTTCAATCCAACCTAGCAACACTGCGCGCAGGGAGTGGGTTGCCGAGCCCGAGTATTTCCGATGAAGGCCGAATGCATGAACCGAAAATTTAATGCACATGCAATCCGATCGAGTCGGGAACTTATCAATCAAATAAGCTAACATTTAATAACTGAAACAAAACTAGGAGCATAATTGCGTAAACATACATTCATAAAATACTGATAATTAATAATAAAACTCCTCCTCCTCCGTGCGTCGTATTCCTCAGTTCTGAGGGTCGTGACCTTTACTGAGCACTTTTGTCAGGACTTTGTTCTTCCATTCACTTCTGTCCTCCGCGCAGTGGATAGCGACATTGATGCTGGATTCCATAGTCGTCTTAATCTGATCGGACCAGCGCATGGGACTACGCCCCCTAGGCCTCTTTCCTTCCACTTTGCCGGTGATGAGAAGTATTTCGAGATTGTCACCCTTTTTTCTCGCAACGTGACCGAAAAACTCTCAGATCCTACGTAGGCAAATGGTGGAGAGTCTTAAGGAGACGCCTAGTTCTTCCAGGATTGATGCGTTTGTCCGATGCGCCGTCCAGGGAATCCGCAGCATTTTCCTCCAGCACCACATCTCAAACGCGTCGATCCGACTTCGATCAGCCTTCTTCAGAGTCCATGTCTCCGCCCCATATAAGAAAATAGAAAACACAAGACNTCAGATCCTACGTAGGCAAATGGTGGAGAGTCTTAAGGAGACGCCTAGTTCTTCCAGGATTGATGCGTTTGTCCGATGCGCCGTCCAGGGAATCCGCAGCATTTTCCTCCAGCACCACATCTCAAACGCGTCGATCCGACTTCGATCAGCCTTCTTCAGAGTCCATGTCTCCGCCCCATATAAGAAAATAGAAAACACAAGACTTGCTACAAGTTTACGCTTGGTTTTTATGGAGATGTTTCTATCGGACCAGATGCTATCAAGCTGACACATGGCAGTTTTTGCTATCCCGATACGTCTTCGAATCTCAGGCTCGCACGATCCAGTATTCGCAATCATGGAGCCCAGGTAATAAATAATAATAAAACCCAATAATAAAATTAACAAACGCTTTCAAGTATTGGTAATTTTCCGTACATTCGTACCTAGAACCGCCTGGCCAGTCATCGATCTCGTCGAACCCGTCGCTTGTGACGAAGGGCTCGACGAGTAAATTGACCTACAGACACAGCCCACTGAGTTTCTTGTCGGATCTTCTCAGTGGGTCGCGTTTCCGATCCGGCGGTAGATTCCGCGTAGCACGGTTCTTGCTAGGGTTCGTGTTAGCAACGTCGTCAGGTTTATGACCCGTGAGCTCACCTACATGTTAGGGCGAAGCTGAAATAGCCTCTCAAGGCTATCAGCATAGGTAGGGAAAAAAAAGAAGCCCTGGTATTAAATTTTGTAAGTATGTCTCATCGCTACATCCTTGTCATTTTTTATTTATGTTAAACAATTAACAAATAATAGAGTTTTATATATTCGACACTGTCATTTAATTTCCATACTAAAAAAAGTTAAAAAAAGATGTCTAAATTATGTTGATGAGGGTACTTAGTTTACATAAAATTACGTAGGTACAACGTTCTGGTGGGAACGCGATAAGCTAAGTTGTGGCAATTATTATAATTTGTTAATTTACTGTGTTTTCAGGCTTAAGCGTGTAATAATGGTGGTTTATTAACTGTTTAGTATCTGTGAAAGTACAAATGTGGGAAAATAAAACAAAGCAGCTGGACATAACTTCTCGGGACCGTCCACAAAATCTACTGGAAAAGTTTCAGTAAATGACCACTATTTTACTAAGATTATATTTCATCCCATATCTTCTCATCTTATTTAATTTCATGCCATGTTTTTAATATTCAACTTCATTTCACTTCATATTAAGTATCATCAAATATTTAAAAGATTAGGGTTTATGGTATGACACCTTTGCCTTTTCAGTTGGAAAATAAAACTACTATTACTAATTAATGACATCACTTTTATCTGTCAAATGCCACTTCACCACAATCACCATAATTTGTCATTTATCCGGCAGACCAAATCGCCAAAAAAAAACAGATGTTAATACGTAACAGACGTTTTGGAAGTAATTAAAATTTTGATTATTCTTTAATTTTTGAGCACCCCTAAACAATATCGAAAGAAAATTGAATTGAAAAATATTTTCACTAAACAAGGACACCAATCAAATAGCTAAATTTATTAAATAGTAGTCTGAAATAAACTCGGAAGTTACATCAACACGTTTAGGTAATTTTTATTTGATTCATTTTCAACTTTGTACGGGAATTACTATACAAAAGAATTTTACATATATATTTGACTTTAATTTTAGGGTTACTTTTGGTCAATAGTACCAAAGAGTTCGGCTATGTGATATAATGTCTCGAAAGAGGACGTGGCCAAGCACTGAAGAGGAAATGGATTCGAAAATACGAGAAGGCGGAGGCACTGAAAGTCAAAACGGAAGCACTACCAGCTTCAACAGTAGCACAAGTCAAGTTACAATAGAGCCATTACCGGTAAGTATTCATAGATATTTCATATTTCATATACATGTGTGAACCTTGAACATTTTCCATCTAACAGAGTACTTCAGAAATAATATACAAATAGTAAACGGGTGGTATATTATTTATTTGGATTGGGTCTATTCTCAGATTAAACTTTAAGTTACATTATTTACATTCAAACTCTCAAAAGTGCACATTGATCTTGTCAGGCTTTCAAAAGTAATAGACATAAACATATTTTTAAGAAAAAATATATAAATTATATGAAATAGGCAGATTTTGAGTTTTATGAACAAACTTCATATCTATACTAATATTATAAAGCTGAAGAGTTTGTTTGTTTGAACGTGATAATCTCAGGAACTGCTTATCCGATTTAAAAAGATCTTTCAGTGTTAAATAACATTGAGGAAGGTTATAGGCTACATAACATCACGGTAAGACCAATACAGTTGAAGCACCAATAAATAATGTTTCAAAATATTTTCGTTGGGGGTAAAATTTAGGGTAATGCCAAAGTAACTATTCCACACAGACGGAGTCACGGGCAAAAGCTAGTTGTCTATAAAAAAAACACTTAACGTGGTGTAGAAAGTACCCTAACATAGTGATGTGGTCAGACCTTACGTAAGTGGAATAAATTTTTCATTACAGCCTTTGAGAGGGGGACTCATTTAGATATATTTAGACAACATTTATTATGCAAAACTACAAAATCCAATTCTATAGTGTTGAGATAGAGAAACATAACACATTCATGTGCAGTCAAATTCTTTGATCATCCCTCAATTACATGCCCTAAATGCCAGTCCATTTTTTTACCATTATTTCTATACATCGCTATAATGGTTCATATTTATAATCTATTTATGTAATAAATTATCCAGTACCATCACTAATCAAATGACTGACATACAGACAGATTGGAAGTGAAATAAACTACAAGAATTTTTTGTCATTCCACTATGGAATCTAACATTTCTTATTTTATATGTTGTTAAAGACCTCTTCTTTCCATGCTTCAGTTTCCTCATTATTGTGGACTGTAATTCCTTCCCTGCATCAGTCTCATTCACAATTGACCTTCAATCTGCTGTGATCCTTGGCTTTATGGAGGACATTGTGAAGCTTGATGTTCAGGCAAGATCAAAATTTGCTCAACCATCTCGTTGAACTGCGTCCCCTTACTTTGCTCTCTATCTCTAAAGATCTAATTAGGAAATATTAATAAAAGATCAAGTTAAGGGTTTTTACATTTTCTTTTTTTTTTTTCATAAATAGAACACCATGACAACTTTGACAAAAAAGCCAAGTATCTATTAGTAATATCACCTGATAAATAAACAGTTCAATAAGATAGCCATGATGTACTGTATATATTTACGAGTCACTGTTGATTATGAATTATAAATGTGTTGTATTGTGATCTATGCCTCCAATACATAAACGAAAGTAAATATTATCACACCACTGGGCTTGCTGCCAACATTGTGGCGTGATCAGTCTGATCAGTGACCGTGTCTGACGTCATTCATTCAAATACCTCTTAAGACGTACATATGCGTCGTCGTGTTCGCATAATAATTACGTATTATAATAATAATTCATATATGAGACTCGAGGAGGATCATGTGATTATTATCACTTATTACGATTGCATTAGTTTTGGAGTAATCAAAGATTTTTATCTGTTTATTTAGTAGAAAAATCTTGAAATCGTTTTTTTTTTTTTTTTTTTNTTAGATGTGTGGACGAGCTCACAGCCCACCTGGTGTTAAGTGGTTACTGGAGCCCATAGACATCTACAGCGTAAATGCGCCACACACCTTGAGATATAAGTTCTAAGATCTCAGTATAGTTACAACGGCTGCCCCACCCTTCAAACCGAAACGCATTATTGCTTCACGGCAGAAATAGGCGGGGCGGTGGTACCTACCCGTGCGGACTCACAAGGGGTCCTACCACCAGTAATTTTTGTTTAATAATGTACGCTGATGAGTGATTCGCGAACTGCGTAATCCGCGGACAAGTTTATTATCACGATACGGTTTCGTGCCTGCCTGTCCACAATTAAAATCACCTTGAACTTAATATAAAGAATTCACCTTATTACACGTGCGTGATAGTTGAAACCGTAAGAAACTCTATCATTTCGTCGACATTAACATCCGATTTGTTAATTAAAAACGTCGAAGCATGTTTTTGTCAGTCCTGGTTTTTGGCACAGCACGAAATTTTTGTCGTAAGCGTACAAAAGATCCGGTGTCATCTTAGTAAACAGTGATTTAAAATATTGGCACCTAAAAGTCGGTTAGTAGACCGGTCGTTGCCTTTAAGTGTAAATGATCTGGTACTAAATAAAACTATATTTTTTACCGAGAATCTTCGCTTTTTTAAAGCATTACTTATTTGGTTACTTGAGTCGTCTATTATCAAAGGTGGCAATCTGTGCATTTGAACAAAAAAAATGTTATTGATATGTCAATACAGATTGATTTGAATATAATCGTCTCCTTCAAAGAATACGGTTCAAAACCTGCATTAAATAAAGGTTAATACTTAACAGTTTTGTGACTGCCAATGGAATACAAAGTCAATAATTCGTTTTTCTGATGTACCAATAATTGTCCAAAAGTCACATTGCCGGCTTTGATAATAATCGACTCAGTCTTATATTCGTTAAATATATAACTACGTGGTTTCATGATTCATCAATGTTTCAAGTCAACGATTGAGAGTTGATTGATTTATTCAATCAATCTGCTATCTTGATTGATTGTTATGTTAATTTATTTAAAGTTGTTATTTGTTTTATAACAATTACTCTGTCGAGACGTCATACTGATCTACCAGCATAACCACAATCCCTTGGCAGTTTGTTTTTGTATATGCAGAAATTTAACAGTAGTTAAAAAACAGTCAAAAAAAGAAACGATGTACTTAGCACCACTTTATTATATTAGCCTTCCGCGAGGCGTGAATGAAAAACATCGTGTAATGAATAATTATGATTTGCGTAATTGTTAATGGTAGAGGACGCATTGTAAGTTGAAACGGGTGGGTAGTTATCACCGTCGTTCTAAAATTTGCCGCAAAGCAATCGTGCGTTCCAGTTTTAAAGATGTGATAAACCTTTTACAATACAATTGTGACTTCGATTACACACATCAAAATAGAAAAAACCGAGCAGTCACGGTCGCCCATGGACATTGCAAACGCCAGAGACACGTCGAGCCTCTGCCTATAAAATCTGTTCACTTTAACTGATAAAACTCGTTTAAAACTCGTACTGGTGGTAGGACCTCTTGGGAGTCCGCACGGGTAGGTACCACCGCCCTTGCCTATTTCTGCCGTGAAGCAGTAACGCGTTTCGGTTTGAAGGGTGGGGTGGCCGTTGTAACTATACTGAGACCTTAGAACTTATATCTCAAGGTGGGTGGCGCATTTACGTTGTAGATGTCTATGGGCTCCAGTAACCACTTAACATCAGGTGGGCTGTGAGCTCGTCCACACATCTAAGCAATAAAAAAAATAAAAAAAAATCGTGACATGGACTTCAAAAAGTTAATAAGGGAACCTTTTTATCGCAACTAGCAAATGCATTTAGTTTGCGTTCGTTTGCTTTTCCGCAATGAGTAACATTCACTTGTGTAAACGAAAATGAATCGAATCGGAGAGCTTGTCAAGTAGTTCCAGGTAGGCGATCCAAAAGTGATGAGCTGACTCTTAACCATTGATCCATCGAAGTACATGCTTTAGCTTGCTAGGGCGTGTTAGCAACACTCCCGGCTTGAGAAACTGAAATAACTTTGTTAGGGTACCTAGGATATTCTTTATTTTGAGAATATTACTAATAATCTGAATTTTAAATGATAAAACTTCGTTTATATTTGAGTACAGAGTAAAAATTAAATTTTTGTACTGAATTTGCTAGAGATTTAGCTGCATTTGTTATGACATGAAAAAACTAAAGCGTGTCCAACAAACTAAACAAAATGGCGCCATAGTTAATCCATTTTACTACACTATGGCGTTTAGCTGCCTTTGATTTTATAGGTCTCAATTGTAATATTTCACGAAGATGCAAACGTTAGAAGCGCGTGGTTACATACCTACAGGCCGAACTTATAGTATGTAAAAAAAAAAGAAAATATTTCATGTCACAGTTTGTCTGTCTTTGTTTGACTAATTAATCACCTTTCGTAATTATTGGCAAATGATTCATATGAGAAAATTTATTAAGCCAGAACAAAACTAAAACTAGAAATTTAATAAATTTTCAATTTTGACTGTATATTTAAAATAATCACTATCCATACATCATTGTGTCTGTTTTAAATTTATGACTTGTATCTCTAAAGATTGGAAATTGGTGCTAGAAATTTCGAATTTTGTGAACGTCTGTCTATAGAGTCAAAGAACTCACGGTCCATGTTATTTTTTTTTTGTTTTCGTATCTAAGCTGATTTATTTTTTTAATTGCTTTGATGGGTGGACGAGCTCACAGGCCACCTGGTGTTAAGTGGTTACTGAAGCCCATAGACATCTATATAGATATAAGTTCTAAGGTCTCAAGCATAGTTACAACGGCTGCCCCACCCTTCAAATCGAAACGCATTAATGATTCACGGCAGAAATAGGCAGGCTGGTGGTACCTATTCGTGCGAACTCACAAGAGGTCCTACCACCAGTAAGACGGTTCGACGAGAACTATGACCGGTGCTTGGGGTACCTAAAAGTACCGTTACTGAATCGGGAGGATCCGAAATGACGGGTTTTGGGCGACGTTTTTTTTTTTTTATTTTTTTTTATTGCCTTTGTAGGCAGACGGGCATACGGCCCACCTGATCGTGAGTGGTTACCGTCGCCCATGGACTTCAGCAATGCCAGGGGCAGAGCCAAGCCGCTGCTTACCGACGTTGGCCTACGTTGACGGCTTACGGTCGACAATGCGCTCTATCCTCGGTAAAGTGATGATAGACACATTTGTGTTGGGCCTGCACAGTGCC